GTGCTGTCATTTTAGGATCTGGAGACATTTCTCATAGGATCAGCTGTATAGAGAGATTGGGATTCTCTTTTCTTTCTTCTCTTCACTTTAGAAGCTGCCCAGAGTTTGCTGCTCTTATGCTTACTAGAGGATATTGGTGACCATACGAACTCTCTGTCCCTCGTTCACCTTCTGGCAGTTATGCTTTTATTTTATCATTCTCCTAGTTGGTTTGTTAGAATTCTTAATTTGGGGAAGATGCCTTGATCAAGAGGGCAGTCCACAAGCAAATAAGCACACACGTTCAAGAAATACAGTCTAGCTCAGGATTTTCCAGCTTTGTCCAGAGTGTAACCAGACATGGACTTACTAGAACACAACTGGGAAGGTTATGCCCCTTCCTCTTAACTGACCAGTCATCTATCTGCCTAACCATCGCCCATGTAATTCTCTATTTTCATATATGCTTATTTGTTACCATGGTTACTATATTATTTTTATTTATTTATTTTTTTGTTTGTTTGTTTTTGTTGGTTCCTCGATCTTGGACATGGTTACAATAAACAAGTATAACACAAACTAGTTACCATGTTACCATGGTTATGACATGTTACCTTGTTAAATTGTTACCATGTTACACAGTTACTATAAACAAGTATAACAAATAAGCAAATGTAACACAAATAAGCATAACACTTTTCTTCACAAACAAGTATAGCACTTTCTGGTTAGAGATTAGGAATTTTGAAAAATTGGGTTATACATGTCCAACAGAATCTCTCTGCTGACATTGGAGTAGTCAGGAATCAACACTGATGGGATAATAAAATACTATACAGGATGATGATATGTTAGGTTTGTGGTCTACGCACCAGGAAACTCATATTCAATAGCCACTTGTTGCTAACCTAAATATAGTATGTCAAGAACAGGTGAAGTATTTTTGCATACATTATTTCAATTTTCTTCAAAACCACTGAAGCATAGGGATCACTGTCCAATGAGACTGAGACCAAACTTGCCACAATACACAGTAACTCTGTAGCAAAATTGGAATTTGAACCCATTTCTTTGAACTCCAGATTTTTTTTTAAAACAGACTGTAAACTAAAAGGAGAGGAAATTTAACATCTGAAAGGCTTCTAAGGAGCCAGACTCACTACTTTGTGCTTTCTCAAACTATATGGGTCTCGCATAGAGATAGGCACATTAAATACTTTTTGTTTAACATAGGGTAGAAATTAGAAAATGGAAGTTACCCTTGAAGGAAAGGGGGCAAACGGGAGTTACTGATTTGAGAATTATTAGCCACACACACTTAACCTTTCTCCCTTCCATATATCTTCAGTCTCAGAATAAGTGGCAGGGTAAATACATATGCTGTGTCCAGGATAGAGGAATGGAAGGAAAAAGGATAGCTTGGTATGCGAGGGGAAGAGGCACGTGGCTGAGAAATTAGAGAGATGCCCACAGGATGTCCTAGCCTTGAGTTCACAACATTCTATTAATTTGATCTGACCCATATTGTCACCTTTCCTGGAAATATCCCCTTCAGCTTCTTTCTCTAACCCAGATATGCTCTTCCCAGAAGAAACCGCTGCCCTAGTCACCCTCTCAAATTATTAGCTATTTGCCTTTCCTTACTTCTTCTATCACTGGGCCCAGAGATGCCTTAAGAATCGAGATTGAGAGTCCTAGGGACCAAAGTCAGTCACATGAAAGCAAAAGTTGAGATTACTATGTCAAATGATATACGAGCTTTCACTTCACCCAAAGCTAGAGTTAAGGCAAATCCATTAAGAAAAGCTTATATGTATTGTGGCATGGGCTTCTGCTTTTTCTACCGCCCTGCCAGAACACGCCCCAGCTGATAAAGATGTCACTGAAAATGGAGCCAACTCTGTATGACCCTAGTCAGTGTCCAGAGAGTTCAGCCACATGGGAAAGATCAGTGCCTGTATTGAACCATTAGCATCTGTGGTGAGAAGCATGGTGAAGGGCTGTACAGACTCCTGGATTCTTTCACTGCATTTGTATCTGCTCCCACCCAGCTGAGCAGGGTTCTTGTCCTCTAATCTCTGTTTCTCTCCTGCTGTCCTTGTCCTTGAGCCCTGCACCTTAGACTCTTGTAGCACTTAGGGATGCTCAGCGCATCCCGTTGACTCACAAAGTGCTGTTCTTTGCTCTTGGTCTGAACCCTGAAGGGCTCTCCATTCACCATGACCGTCAGGAGAAAGCACCGCCCACACGCAGGCGTCTTTCACTGCTGCACCTTCTGCTCCAGTGGAGGCCAGAAAACTGCTCGCTGTGCCTGTGGAGGCACTATGCCAGGTAAGGAGCAAGATCAGTACCCTCAGGGCCTGTCTGCCAGCAGTGGAGATCAAATCTGGCCCCTCCACTGCCACACAGACACTAGATATATGGACTCAGGCTCTGTTCCTGGGAAGTACAGTCTGTGTATAGAGATACCACTGTTCTAGAAGTTTCACTTAAAGCTGTGAAAATTCCAAGTGCTTTTAGTTTTGATAAGACTTCGTCAATCCCATGAGCCCTGTGTGTCTCTGTGGGATTCTTAATTTCACTCTGTACCCTTTCCAGAACCCTGAACGGTGTGAAAACTGTAGACCTACCTTATTCCTTTTAAAATTTTAAATAAATTCCAAATGAGGCATGGCTGGGGGAATGGATGATTAAACCAATTATTTTGTGGAGGAGAGAGGAGGGTCAGCTCAGGCAAAGGATCTAATTATTTTTTAAAAATTATTCCATTATATCCTTGCTTTACTGGTGGGCCATAAAATAGGCTATTGTACCCTTCTGTATAAACACTTCAGGATGTACCTTTTTATTTTTAATGATCACCAATCCACTCTTCTATTTTATTTCAATCATTTTACAGTTAAAGTCCAAACTAGTTCTCCTTCAGGTAGGCAATTTTAACACTGCAGTATTCTTGGAGCTTTGGCTAACATGAATTGATTTTCTGTAATCAGTCTTGAGAGTCCTCCTGATTATAGAGGAAACAAGATAGCTTGTTCCTCTTGCCAGGTTCTTCTTAGATATTTTCACTCCCATGAGTCCGAATGTTGCCAGGAGGTTTAATTTCCATGGTAACTGCTGGACTCCACTCTAATAGTTATTTCTCCCTCTCTTCTTTGTACCATGCAGGTGGGTACCTAGGCTGTGGCCATGGACACAAAGGCCACCCAGGTCGCCCCCACTGGTCATGCTGTGGGAAGTTTAACGAGAAGTCTGAATGCACATGGGTAGGTGGGCAGAGCACACCAAGGAGTCTACTTAGGACTGTGGCACTCTGAGGGTTTCCTGGGGACATGCTCAGCCTGTTAAAGCTGTAGCCAGCACCGCTTCAGATAACCAGAGGACCCCAGACCTTGATTAATTCTGAAGAAACTGATAAAATTAAAAACAAAGTGCCTTATCTTACATTAGAGTTCAAGTGCTTTTTTGTGAGTTTCTCACTTACTGTCCTTGTGGATGATTGAGCCCAATAGACCACCACACTACATTTCTCTTAAAGGTAGGTTGGCAACATTCTTTCTATACCATAGGAGCTCCTTGTGACCATTTTTATTTTTTCCTGAGCTGCATATTATTTAGATATTTCCTTCAAAGAATAAAAACCTTCTTTGATCCTATCCACTTTTTGTTAGCACACTTTTGGTTGTTTTACTGGCACATGTTTGTGACCCTTTAAATGTGATCTTGCTGTTTCCGTGGGCATCCCCCTCTTCCCTCTCTATGCCAAGGCTCATCCTCCACCCCAAACCTGGAAGATTACTCTTTGGTCAAGGGCATACACATAGAAAGTTAATAAAGGGGGTGGTGGTGAAATAGAACCTCATACATTTTTCCATTTCTACTCATGCCAGACACTCTAGATACCATCACCTTCCTCATACCTCTTTGTTTTCTAGAGAGTAGTCTTCACTTTTGTCTACATAGCTAGAAACTTAATTGGAAACTGACTCTTACAGCATGCCCTCTTGCTTGTTAGAGAATTCTGGGGAGAAGAGGTACACAGTGCCAGTGCTTTAGCGCTGCCAAGGTCTTCACTGTATAATTTTGTGTGTTCTGGGACTCTTGATTTCTTATATAGCAATAAACTCAGTATGTATTAAATATAATTATTGAAATCTGCATTGTAAGAACCCTTAAGTGGGTGACTCATTTGAGTGGTGAATTGGGTCGGGCGAAGGCAGTGAAGTAATTAGATGATGACTGTCAGGTCCTTGTGGAATACATTTCCTCCTTGAGGCTGATAGATATGGGCTGCATTGCACTAAGATATTACCCATATCGTCATCCTTTCCTGGAAATATTCCCTTCCGCTTTTTTCTCTAACCCAAATATGGTCTTCCCAGAAGACAGTGCTGCCCTAGTCACCCTCTCAAATTATTTGCTATTTGCTCTTCCTTACTTCTTCTATCACTGGACCCAGAGATCGTGTCCTTTTAGTTCCTCACTGCTACCTTAAGATCAGTGGTTCTCAAGTGGGAGTGGATTTGCCCCCAGAGGACATCTGGCAGAGTCTTGGAGACATTTTTGGTTGCCAATACTGGGGCTGTGCAGTATGCTAATAGCATCTAGTGGGTAGAGGTCACAGATGCTGCTAAATATTTTGACAGTTTCCTGAAACAAAGAATTATTCAATCCCAAATGTCAATAGTGCCACTGTTGAAAAACCCTGTTCTAGACTATTATCCCTAGTTTTCTAAAATAGCCTAGCCTTGAAGTTTATACCTGTAGACTATGTAATTTACTATTCCTCTATGGTTCAGTCATCTACTGAGCCCCAAATCATTCCCCACCTCATTCCTTGAACATTATAGCATTGAGTTTGATATCACCCGAGTACTACTTCTTATCAATCTTGGGATGAATCAATAGCCACACAGACTTCTTAGTTCTGTGATCAATTCCCCAATGTTCTTTTTTCCCTACCTTAGCCACACATACCCTAATCCTTGATTCCAACTGCACCTTCTGCAGATTTGACCTACCAGAAGCATTTAACACAGTTGATCACTTTCCCCTCCAAGAAATAGTTTCTTCGTGTGGTTTATGTGGCATCATTCTTCTTACTTCTCCTGTCTCACTGGCTGTTCCTTCTCAATCTTCTTTGCTAGTTCTGCCTCATTTTCTGGTTCTCTGCACATGGGAGAGTGCCAAGGATCAGTTCTTGCATTTGTATTAATATCTTTCCCCCACTCCCTAATCCTCTCATGACTTTAAATATCACTGATAACTCCCAAATTTATCTCCAGATCCAATAGCTCAGCGGTCCCCAACCTTTTTTGGCACCAGGGACTTTCATGAAAGACAATTTTTCCATGGACTGGGGAAGTAGGGAGATGGTTTCAGGATGATGAAAGTGCATTACATTTATTGTGCACTTTATTATTATATTGTAATGTATAATGGAATAATTATACAACTTACCATCGGTTGGGGACCCCCACAATAGCTCACTTAACATCTCTCCCTGTATGAATAATAGGCACCTCAGATTTAAGATATCCAAAATAGACTTCTAATTTTCAAACCTCACTTCCCACTTGCCTGCCACCACCAAACTGCTTCTCCTGCAGTCTTGTCCATCTCTTCAAAAGGAAAGTACAAGTCTGTTCTTACAATTGGTTGAGCCAATGGCCTTGGAAACATCCTTGACGCTTCTCTCATACAATACATCCAATCCAGTGTTGAATCCCATCAGCCCTACCTTCACATAAGGCACACCTCATTTTATTATGCTTTGTGTTACTGCACCTCCCAGATATGCGATTTTTACAAATTGAACGTTTGTGGCAATCCTGTGTCAAGCAACTCTATCTGTGCTATTTTTCCAACAGCATGTGCTCACTTCATATCTTTGTGTCAGCATTTTCTAGTAATAAAGTATTTTTAAATTAAGGTATATACACCTTTTTCAGATATAATGCTATTGCACACTTGATAGACTACAGTATAGTGTAAATGTAATTTTTATATGCACTGGAAAACCAAAAGTATCACGTGACTCACTTCATTGAGATACTCCTTTACTGTGGTGGTCTGGAATTGAACCCATATCATCTCTAGGTATGCCTGTATATCTGCTGACCACTGTTGTCTACTTCCACTCCTACCATCCTGGTCTAAGATACCAAGCAAATGAAAACCACAATGAGATGTCACCTAATTCCAGTGAGAATGGCTCTTATCAAAAAGTTCCCAAAAAGTTTGCACCAGATGCTGGTGTAGATGCAGAGAGAAAGGAATACTTACACACTGTTGGTGGGACTGCAAACTAGTTCAACCTCTATGGAAAGTAGTACGGAGATACCTCAAAGATCTAAAAGTAGACCTATCATTTGCTCCAGCAATCCCGCTACTGGTATTTACCTGAAGTAAAAAAAGACATTTTATAAAAAAGACACTTGCACTCAAATCTGTATAGCAGCACAATTCACAATTGCGAAGATAGGGAAATAACCCAAGTGGCCAGCAATCAATACATGAGTGGATTAATAAAATGTGGCATATGTATACTATGGAGTATTAGCCATAAGACAAATGGTGAACTAATTCCTTTTGTGACAACCTAGACAGAACTGGAGAGACTATCCTCCTAAGTGAAGTATCACTAGAATGAGAAAACAAATACCACACGTATTCAATATTAAATTGGAACTAAATGATCAACACTCATGTGTACATACGGTAATAAAATTCAATGGAAATCAAGCAGGTGTGGGGGGGAGGATGGGTAAATTTATACCTAAGAGGTACAATGAACACCTAAGTGGTGAAGAACACACTTATAACTTTGACTCAAACTGTACAAAAGTTATTCATGTAACCAAAACGTTTATATTCCCATAATATTCTGAAATTAAAAAAAAAAAAGATTTCTCACCCGGTGTTTTGCAACAGCCTTCTAACTAGTCTGTTTCCACCCATGCTCCCTTACAGTGTATTCTCCACTCAATGGAGAGCCTTTTCAAATGTTGGCTCATGTCATTCTGCTCAGCACTCTCCAATGGCCTCCCATTTCACTCAGAACAAAAGTGTGTCTTTACATCAGCATGGAAGACTGTGCAGGATCCAGATCCCTGCTCTTCTCTGATTTCCTACCCACCCCCGGCCTCCATCACTCTAGTCCAGCCACACTGGCCTGCCTGGCACTCCTCAAATTCTCCAAGTGCTGTGTCTTAGGGCTTTATGATCACTGCCCCACATCTGCTCTTCTCACAGATGCCTTCATGATACACTCCCTCATTTTTTTCAGGTTTCTGTTCCAGTGTCAAATATCATCCTATTAGAGAGGTCCTTAACTATCCTAAATAGCAACTTCCCACTCCAGGGCTCCATGTCACCCTGACTTGGCTTCATCACCATCTCACGTGTACAAGCATTCAGTTTATTGTCTGTGCTCTCATACTACTCTGAACGCTCTGAGGGCAGGGACTTGACATTAACATACATTGTCCCCATGAAGGATAGTTCCTGGCACATAACAGAAGTTTAATAGTATGTTGAATGAATAAAGATTTAATTGGTAGAATTTTTAGTTTGGGTTCCTTGGTATCTGTTTTTAAAGCCAGACTTCCTTTTCCCCAAACCCCAATATTTGTTATTTAGCCAAATACCAAAATCTCTTGGGAAAAAATCTCAGCCTTCTCTCAAACCTGTTAGATAAATTATATGCCTGAGGGACGAGCCTTGAATTTTCCAACTACGTCAGACATCTAGGGAATTGCTTACCATGAAGAAGTCTGTTGTATTATATCATCTTTCCCTATCTGTCTTTTAATGAATCAGATTTCAGAACTGAGGATAAAAAACTTACCATTTCTTTTGGTTGGAAAGGTTTCAGTAATTGGACAACTCTATGTGAAGTTATATTGCAGTGGAAAATTTCATTAAGATATCTAGGTTCTGCTAAGGTTCTGCTAGGTTCTGCCTTAGCCTTTAAGCTATATCAACTGTAACAATTCCATTAAAAATATTCAAAGTTTACATGGGTGGTGGTGGGAAAGGGTTGTTTGTTGGCCTGCACCACAATGAAGTCCAAACCCAATTGAATAAACTGCCCTGCCAGTCGAAAGACCTGGCAAAGTCAAAGTGACCTACAGAGCCCAAGAGCCCAAGACTCCAAGGTGAGGAATAAAGGAGTTGGAGGATTTAGGAATTGTCCCCAGTGTAACAAAGTGCTTAGAAATCATCTCTGAGTTGTGAGCACTGAATCATCAACAAGATGCAGCATTATGATGTAAGTCATGCCTCTGGAGTTACAGGTAACAAAAAAGAGCCACACATGAGAGTCTCAGTCCTCTGGGATGTTGTAACAGGATAAACATCTTGGCCATCGTGGGTAAGAAACACACACATATACCTGTCAGCTCACCCATGCTCTAATCTCTCAAGTGCAATAGTTGCTCAACTTCACTCCAGAGGATGTATACCTGTATGTTAGGTTTGGCTCAATTAAGAGGTAGTTTGATGAATTGAATGCTAATTAGAAGCAGGATACAGTATAGGAAGAAGCACTTCACTCTTGGCCTTGTTAGCTCCTGCTCATTGATTTCAATTCCTTCATCACTTCTTCAAAGATCTTTCCTGACTAGGTTAAATCCCTGTTATAAACCCTCCCAGCTGCACAGACCTCACCATAGTAGCACTGTTTTTTTGTTTGTTTTTGAGACAAGGTCTTGCTCTGTTGCCCAAACTGGGGTGCAGTGGCATCATCATAGCTCACTGCAACCGCCAACTCCTGGGCTCAAGTGATCCTCCTGCCTTAGCCTCCTGAGTAGTAGCAGGGAGTAGAGGTATATACCACCACGCCCAACTAATTTTTCAATTTTTTTTGTAGAGACAGGCTCTCGTTATGCTACTCAGGCTGGTCTCAAACTCCTGGCCTCAAGCGATCCTCCAGCCTCAGCCTCCCAAAATACTAGGATTACAGGTGTGAGCTACCGTACCTGGCTTATATTTTTGAATTAATGTATGAATAGAGATATTCTCCTTGTCGTTCTTTTCATACATAATCTCTGCCTATACCAGGATTTGGCTATGGAATCTGGGTAAAAAGGATTTAAGATAGTAAAAACATTGTGTGGCTGCATAACTTTCCTCCCACTCCCTCCCTAGGGGATAGGCTATTTTTCATTTCCATCTCCATCCCCTAGCTACTAACTCCTGTAATTCTTCTTACCATAGCTGACCCTAATTTCATTTTTATTTATGAAAACATTTTAGTCTAGCTTATATGCCTAGGAACTTTAAATTTCCACTATAATTCTCTTTGTGTGTACAGGTATGCTTTTTAATTCCTCCTGCCCTTTCCTAGGGCTAGATGCTATTTAACAAATAGCAGTACGATATCCCACTTTGTAAACCCAGTTGGCTCAAGGGATTATGGTAGACATCAAGATTTCAGACAACCAGAGAGGCTACATTGAGCACTGGTGTTCCCATGATTACTCTGTCAGTGCAGGAGAATCTGGTTTTACCTTAGGGCCCTGCTAAAAGCCACTTCATTGAGTAAGAGACAATCATAGGAAAGAAACAACTCAGTGTTTGTAGGGGTCATGTACCAGAAAGAAATAATCCTATCTACTGCTGTTCAATAATGACTGTATGGCAATAGGTGTCCTTGATCAGGTTTCTAAAGGCCCAGGATTCCACCCTGCCATGGCATGCACCATGCTCTTGTTTGATCAACACAATTAAAGAAAAGTCAACCTATAAACCTTCCACGAAGGCAATTCTGTCACATAAGAAACACCTTGTAAACTTGGTGCTCAGGAATATTGTGCTTTGGCGACAACATTCGCCATCTGGGTCCTTCAGCTGCCCTCGTGCTGCTGCTTTGTTCTCATGTCCCCAGACCCTGTCCCACAGCAATGGCACTAGCACTTGCGTGCCCTCCATGGTTTATAAAGCACTTATTACCTCATATCATCCATGCCCAATCTGATGCGACAGGCAGGCAGGTGAAAAAAGAAACTCTAGCATCAGTGGGGTCACATAAAGGAAGGCTGGGTGTCACTGGCAGGACTCAGTAGAGTACCTCGATTAAACCACTGCACTGTGGGATGCTGCCCGTTGCCAGAGGGTGCAGACCCACCTTCTCATACCCAGACTTTAAGAAACCGACTCACACTAACTAAAATGAACATGAGCCTGAGATAGACATCAAAATGCCACTTATATTAATTCCTAATGAGACCTTTCCATCCCAGGACTAGGATTTAAGAATGCATATTTGGTATACTCCATACAGTGGTTCAAACATTTCTGCATCCACATTACATCAATAACATCTCACTGTTACAGGAACACCTACCCAAGACATAATTAGGTGGCTTTGCCTGCCTACAATCACAACAAAAAAATCAGAGAAACTGTTTAAGATACTAGGAGGAATCAGTAGATTACATTTGTCAATGGGCTCTAAATATCTGAAGATTGTAGGTTACAATCTCTGCATCCCTCTCCAAACCAAAATCTAGGATGTTTAAACCTGAAAGTTAAGAATTCTTGTTCCTTAATGGGCACTTGACTGGAAAATGACAATGTTCATCTAACACCTTCTGACATTACTGATCTATCTATCTATATAGTCAAACAAAGTATAGAGTATATATGCTAAGGCACACATTTTACAGATGAAAGGACTAAGATGACCAAGGAATGTGTAAATCGCCTTTTATCAGATAATCGGCAAATGGCAGAGGCAGGGTTTGTAATTCTTGCTGGCCTGAGAGCCATCGTTTTCTCCGGTGACTCTATCCTTACCTTGATGTGTTGATCTTACAGCATAACTTCAAAAGGGTTATCTTACTTCCTTCCCTTCCTGATTTTATCAGGGACCTCATCGTAGCTGTAGAGTCTAAAAAACAATGCCCACCTTACAAATGAGGAAACCAAAGTGTAGAGAAGTAAATGACTTTTTCAAGATTACACACCCAGCTAAGATGAACCTAGAATTAGTCTTAAGATCTGGACCAGAACTCTTCCCACCAGGCCATTGTCTTTACCTTTGTAGGGCTTTAGATCTTGTTAGAGGGAAACTTTGCTTAAACAGCTTCCAGTGCTTCAGTCCACACTGGCTGGAGTACATTGGCAAGATCATGGCTGACTGTAGCCTTGAACTCTTGAGCTCAAGTGCTCCTCCCACCTCAGCCTCCTCAGTAGCTAGGTCTTCGGGTGTACACCATCACACCCGATTAATTTTTTTATTTTTTGTAGAGACAGGGTCTTGCTGGTCGTTGCCCAGTCTGGAAATATTTCTATCTAGGAAGAACTATGATTCTTTCTAGCAGAAATTAGCTGAGTAAGTGTTTTAGGAACAATCACTAATGGGAAGAAGGAAATCTGAATAGTTTTCAGAAGTATAAAAGTCTCAAGGGTTTATATTAGTTAGTGTACTAACTACTATATAAACAATCCCCAAATCTCAGTGGCTTAAAAAAAATTCTTTCTTGATCATGTCACAGTCCAATGTGGGTGAGTTGGGGTGGAGGGAAGTACACATGCAGAAGGTCTTGTTCCACAGAGCCATTCAGGAACTGAGGCTTTACTAGTCTGATAAAAGGGTCCAAGGCCAAAAACTAGGCTAAGAACCCCTGATTAGTGGCTTCACCATTCCCTAGGGCCTTGTTGTCTTCCATCAGTTCCTCTGCATCCAGTAGGCTGAGGAGAGAAGAAACAGCACAAAGAACTATTTGGAAGGTTTTAGAGGGCAGCCTAGAAACAACTTACATCACTTCTTTCCACATTCCATTGACTAGGACTCAGTAATATGAACCATGTCACACTGCAGCCAAGATTGGGGAATGTAATCTCTCTCTCTGGGTGTCCAGGAGCAAAAGGAAATGGTATTTGGTGAACACATGGCATTATCTCTGCTATACTGTCAAACACATATTTATTAGATCATACCAATAATAATACAAATACTAGATGATACAATGGTACGAATACTAAATGCTACAAATACTAAATGAAACAATGATACTAAATGCAAACAATGATACTAAATACTATAAATTTGTAAAATATACAAATACTATAAAACACAAATATTAAATTATGATGCAAATACATGATATGATAGAAATACTAAATGATACAATGATACCAAATGATACAAATACCAAATGATATAGTGATAACCAATACTAAATGACACAAATACACTGACAGTGATATACTACAAAATGATACAATGGTGCCAATATTAAATGACACACTGATACTAAGCAATACAATGATACAGATACTAAATATCTGTTCATGTACAAAACATCTCCTTGATCTTAAGCTAGAGAGGAAGATCTGCCTGGACTCAGACACAACTGCAGAGGAACAGCTGGCTGCAGGGATCTCCTCTCTGCTCTGCCCATAAAGAGACAGTTACCAGAGCTGTCTCACTGGGATGGATGGAGTGTGCTTACAACACTGGTTCTCCCACCAGCTAAGGAGAGAAATCCAACACAAGACTTTTTGAGCTTTACTGAAGCTTATGCACAATTCTGCCTGAGTTGTTTTCCAGAATCATCTAACTTTAAAGAATTTTCTTTTATCTGAAATAATAGATTGGCTTCCATGACACTCATTAAGTAAGCTGATTAACGTGACTGATTAACCAACTGGTTAACACAACCCATCCTCAGTTCCAGGGATAAGATTATGCCTCATTTTGAGGAGGGCATAAGGCTTGTCGGTGAAATGGAATGCCAAGAACAGAGCTCAATGGTTGGGTGCTGATTCCCAGATCCTAATATAAACCATAATGGCATGATTCTGAGCCCTTATAAATAGGAGGTTAGATGCCAAAAAGGACTCTGAGGTCAGCCAAGGTAAGCTTCGTGACAGATTCTCCAGATCCTGATAGAACCTGTTTGGCCAAACATTTCTTTTTTTCTTGGAGGTGCAAGATCTTCTCTTCCACTGTTCCCTCACAAACAAATCTAAAAAACAAATAAGCAAACTATTAAAAACCCAAAGCAGCTTATCTAGTAACATATTCAAGCTTCTATTATGCTTTAGTTTGTAATGAGATTTCTTTCTTTACATTTTCTTAGGTTTGGTTAAGAACCCTATATTTAGGGGATCCAAACAACCATGACTAAATATATGTCCATTTGAAATGATGTGGCTCAAATAGACTTTTTAGTTCTTTCTAGAGCTAAGGTAATTGAGAAAACCCAAAATAAGCAAAAGATACTCCTATTTTAACCCTTTGCACTCGGATGTTGAGTGTGACTCGACATGGTTAGCAAAAATTATAGAGATTAGTATTACTCTTTGACTGTATCAATAATTTGAAATATAAAAAAATCCAAATAAATAAGTTTGTATGAAAAGAAACTCCAGTTTTTTATTCTACTGCCACCCTTTGTAAAATCTGGGGTATTTAAAAATTAAATCCCGAGTAGAATAAAGGAATCGAGAAAAAAGCAAGCTAGTGCAAAGGGTTAAAAAGGCCACAAAAGTTATCAAGTTTCTGCTAGGTATATGTGTGCTAGATGAAGTACAGAGTGCCTAATTTCTTAGCTAATTCACACAGAAAACAGGTTTTTTAAACCAAGGAAACACCACTGTTGTCATTCATTCACTCATTTAACACATACTGATTAAGCACTCGCTATAGACTGTGTACTATGCTATGTGTGGATGGAGAGATGAACATGGTCTTGCTCTGAAGGAGAACGCAAGAGAGACAGACATGAAAATAAACAACAATAATATGTCCCAGTGAGTGCTATAATGGAAGTATGTGCAGTGTGCAAGAGGAGGAAAAGGAACTCTGCCTGGAGTAGTCAGGGAAGGCACCATTAAAAAGTGAACTCTTAATGTGTGACTTACAGGATGAGCAATGGTTTGCCAGATGGAATAGTGGGGACAGCAACCCAGGATATAGGAATATGTGTACAACCACGGCATGTTACAGAAAGATCAAGTTGACTTATTGTATCACAATGGCAAAAGCTTAAGGGGTTGGTAGAAGTTGTGCATGTCATGTGAAGACATTTAGATTTTATCCTACAGAAAGTGAGAGCTACTGAAGAATCTGAGGAGTGGACCAGCATAATCAGACTGATTAGTTAGGAAGAGCTGTTTGGTGATGATGCAGAGGACAGGAGTCAGTAGAGCTGGCAGAAGGGAAGAGAAGGAAGGGATGGTTATCAGAAACATTTAGAAAATACAATGAAAAGACTTGGGGCCAGGTGCAGTGGCTCATGCCTATAATCCCAACACTTTGGGAGATCAAGGTGGGAGGATCGCTTGAGGCCAGGAGTTCGAGACCAGCCTGGGCAGCATAGTGAGACCTCGTCTCTATGAAAAATAAAAAAGTTAGCTGGGCATGAAGGCATGTGCCTGTAGTCCCAGCTACTTGGGAGGCAGAGGCAGGAGAATCAATTTAGCTAGGAGTTCAAGGCCATGGTGAGCTATGATGATGCCACTTCACTCCAGCAGCCTGGGTAAGAGAGTGAGATCCTGTCTCTAAAAAAAAAACAGACTTGGGATGTAGAATAAGGAATGAGTCTGAGTCTGGTTCTGGCTATATGACTAGATAAACAGTGAAACTACTCACAGACAATGACTACAGAAGAATAAGTAGATTTGAGGTAGCAGGAATAAAAAAAGCTATACTTGTGTCAAGCTTGTGACCGAATTTACCGAGTAGGGCAGCAGAAAGATGTTGTCATACACAAGTAATGGCGGGTGCTCAAAAAGTATGAGTTTTATGAGCTGAATATGCAAATGAATGATGAATGGGTGAGTATGCGGTAACTCAGATTCCTATATTTAGCAGGGATTTGGATATCCAGGCCTAAAGTTTAGGAGACCTTGAGTCTGAAGATACAGATTTTGGACTTATTGGAGTGGATATAAATTTTTTAAGAGAGGGGAGTACAGAGTGAGCAGAGAAGAGAGCTAAAGACAGGAAAACTATCATAATCGTATGTGGCAAAGTTTAGAAGTCATCTGTGCCCCTTAACAAAAGCAGTTTTAGTGAAGGGATAGGGCTGAAAGCCAGTTTGCAAAGGCTGAGGAGTGAATGGGAGGTAAACAAGTAAAGACAGACGATGATTTCTAATTCTTCAGGAAACTTGGGTCACAAAAAGGAAGGAGAAAACAAGGGCCATGGCGAGAGTGGATTATTGGCAGTAAGGCAGGTTTTATTGTTTTTAAAGACAGGAGGGTCACCAAAAGAACATTCTGCAAAATAGCTGGCTTGTGCTCATCAAAAACACAAAGATTGAGGAGACAAAGTCATGACAACAGCATGTTACCAGGATCCGGGATTTTCTTTTGGTGATGGACATCACTAGGACAAATGGTAAAACTGAATAAGGTCTACAAATCAGATAATGTTACCAGTATTTTGTTAATGTTAATATCCTGGTTTTGATAATTTTGTTGGGCTTATGTAAGAGAATGTTCTTATTTTTAGGAAATGCATACTAAAGTACTTAGGGATAAAGGAGCATCACGTCTACAACTTACTCTCAAATGGTCCAGAAAAATGTTTATACACACACACACACACACACACACACACACACACACACACAGTATATGGGAACTTTTTGGTACTATTCTTGCAACTTTTCTATATGTTTGAAATTATGTCAAAATAAAAGTTCAAGGCAAGAAAAAAGAGAGGAGGGTCCTCTCACAGGCCACCCTGACTGAGATGTGGCTCACCATCATACACAAACTTATTCTTCTTCTGCAATGACCAACTCCAAGGTTATCCCAATTGCTGCTGTCTCCTTCCTGACTGGTTTGCCAGAGGGTATGCCTCAGAAGCATCATTAGTAAAGTGATCACCAAACAGTTTACATTCTGTTAAAACACTACCTAAGAAAGACTTTCGCCGGGCGCAGTGGCTCACGCCTGTAATCCTAGCTCTCTGGGAGGCTGAGGCGGGCGGATTGCTCATGGTCAGGAGTTCAAGAGCATCCTGAGCCCTGAACAAGAGTGTTACCCCATCTCTACTAAAAATAGAAAAAATTAGCCATGTGTGGCATGCCTGTAGTCACAGCTACTTAAGAGGCTGAAGCAAGAGGATTGCTTGAGCCCAGGAGTTTGAGGTTGCTGTGAGCTAGGCTGATGCCGCCACGGCACTCTATCTAGATAATGCAACAAAGCGAGAGACTCTGTCTCAAAAAAAAAAAAAAAAAAAAAAGAAAGACTTTCACAAAACCAGAAGTTGGTACGGGTCCTGGGGTCTGGAGACCTCTACTTACTTGTGTATGACAACATCTTTCTGCTGCCCTACTCGGTAAATTCGGTCACAAGCTTGATCTTCAAGTGATGGATTCCTGTTAGAAGAAGAGAGGTAAAGGTCAAAGGTACTAACACTAGAGCAGAGGTGGCAAACCCATGGACCAAATCTAGCCCACAGATGGTTCTTGGGCTAAAAATGGTTGCTACATTTCTAAAGGGATTTAAGAAAACAAAACACACAGATTATTTGATAGAGAACTATATAGTATGTAAAAGCCTAAATTATTTACAGATAAAGTCTGTCAACCCCTGTCCCAGGCCACATTTACTTAAGGCAGGTTAGTGTCAGATATCTTCATACCTCCTAATGAGAAACTAGGCTCAGACTGCTAACAATAACTCTTAGCACTGTCATCAGTGGGTGACTGTAAGTGACTGTATGTGACAAAGATGGAACCAAAACTCAAATCCAGTCTCTAGCTAGCTGGATGACCTTGGGCCAGTTATCTAACCTCAACCCTCCAGGCTTCAGATCACTACTTGGAAAGGTGAGGCTGGCTAATGATCATGAATAGCTACCTTATTCACCTTTACTATTCTATGATTCAACTAAGGAATCCACTGTTTCCTTCTTTATGGATTCTCATTATCAACTCTGAATTAGTTTCTCATTTACCGCTTTAAAACCTTGCATAACATTTCTCCATCTCAGAAAAAAGCATAATTCCCAGTTAGCTTTCCTCACTCGTGTGTATAAAGGAGTCCCAAGTGGGACTGAAACACATTCTCCCAGCAGATAACACCAGTTGACCTATATGCACCCATCTGGGCTGCCCTGGAGAATCAGACAAATGACAAGCCCCAGCAACAGTGCCTGGCACTACAATCCTTCGTTGGCCTGACTGGAAAACCAGAAACTGGTGCTAATTATGAGACTTTCTATAAGCAACACCCCAAGTCATTCACCTGGTATCAGGAAGGCTGTGGCTGTATTCCTGTTATTGACACTACACACAATGAATCGAAGGGCTATGAAGGAAGTGTATTTCTAACATAATTAGAGCATTCTTTTGCCTTTTCCTTTTGGAGTATTGCTTTTCCCTCTTCTCCAAGGTTGAGATTTCCTTGGATCTCAACAAATAAGTCTAGAATATGATATTCTGGAGAAGAGATATAATGGAGCAATGTTAGCTCTTAGCCATGAAGAAAAGCTGTGCTTCCTGTTTCCATGGAAACAGATGTTAGATTAACAATCAAGGGAATGAACTATTTTAAGTAGTTATTTGAAGCCTTGCTTGCTCAGGAATTCAGGAGAGTCAACCAGCCCTGCACCCTGTTTAGATCTGTATCTATGGACATCCATGCATGGAGACATCTCCACAGTTCAAACAGAGCACACTCAATGTAAGAAGTCACCCCCTACTGCCCCTCTAGCCCACTTGCCTCCCTGTTGTGCTGCGACAACTCAAGAAAAATCCAGATTGTTACCAGTGCATGTCCAGAAGAAAAAGATGGTTCCCTCCAGTCAGGTTGAGACCAACACCTCCAGCCAATAGAGAGATTAGCATAACCTTCGAAAAGAAACATACAGTTAACTTTGTACAGACTTGGTCTCATAACACATCTCTCCTCTCTCGGGTTAGTGCCCAAGATCAATACAGATAAGCAATGTATTTGTGTCAAATTTCCTTCTGCTATTATAAGCGCACTTTCTTGAAACATTAAAATGTCATCTCCCTTGAGCCCAGGAGTTTGAGGTTGCTGTGAGCTATGCTGACGCCACGGCACTCACTCTAGCCTAAGCAACAAAATGAGATTCTGTCTCAAAAAGAAAAAAAAGATGTCATCTCCCATGTCTCACCTTTGAGAAAATTCTCACATCACATTTTTTTTTGGTAAGTCAACTCCCCCAAAATTAATTGTCTGCCAGAATATAGAAATACTATAATTTAGAGCCCTGGGGGTGGTCAGCTCAATAAACTTTCCAGATTACATCTATCCCATCAGTCCCTGCCCCTCCATTGCCATGATAATCCTCCTGCCTGTCATTCAATGACTGCTTTCCAAATCCTTATCATCTATAGTGAGATGCCTTTGTCCTTCCATTTCCTTCCATATTTCCTCATATCAAAATCCCACCTATCTTTTAAGGCTTACCTCCTCCACAAAGATGCTCCTGATCCTAACCAGCTCTGCTCTTAATATCCTTTTAGTCCTCATATTTTATTCTCTTTAGAGCATTTGTGTATTTTGATAAGTACCCCAACATATGTCTAATAAATGATAAACACTTGGAGGGATCAAGGCTGTGAATATTTTTATTTTAGTTGCTATATTATAATTTCCTCTATGTGACTCAGAACAGTTTGCTATTAATTACATAGCTCTGATGTGACCAGCTCATACCTGAGGGCTCCTGGAGTTGTTAAATGCCTCTACCAAGTCCATTCTCTCTTTGGGGTTGACAGAGCCATCGATGGTGGCATAAGTCAGTCCACGCCTCTTCAGGTGCAATGCTGCGACTTTCAGCATGCTGGTCCACTGAGAGACGATGACACTGGAAAGAAGGTTAAAATACAAAACAGATTACACAAACTCATCTGGAGGGATTTAATGTCCCTGCCATTCTTAAGACTAGTTATCGACTGTAGACTAGAAAAGGCCTTCTGCTACCTAAGGGGAAAAGGCATACATTTAGGTCATGTTATAAGGTTATAATACTTCCAGTTACTTCTAGATCCATTCTACAACTTATTTAGGGCTAAAACAAGTCAGGAAAAAGTGGCAACCAGACTAAAGCAATGACCTCAACCTTCTTTCACATGGGAGCCCAGTGTTCACCCAGAGACCCGGGGTCCTTCAGGGAAGGGCACTGCCACCCTGCCTATGCCAGTCAGACAACAAGCTGCTGGGTTACCCTGGCCCCCAAGCTAAGTGTCAGAGTTTTACAGTTTTAGATTGAAGTATTTCATACATACAAATGCAGATGTATGGCACTTATGTAAAGTATAACAAATGACAAAAATGAACCTTCTTGTATCCAAGCACCCAGCTTAAAGAACATTACCAGCACTGCTAGAGCTTCCAGGACCAAGATGCTTCAAGCAGGCAAAGGCAGCATATGCCTGGCTCGATTCTATACTCATAGCTCCTAGTACATTGCTAGGACAGAGAAGGTATTACCTTAATTTTTGCAGAAGTAGATGAGAGCAGGCTTTGTGCCCTGCTCCAAGTGTCAGTGAAGAAGAGGACCTCTACAGACTGAGGAACTTAAAGCTTCCAAACAAGCTCTCTGGGTTTTCACCAGAGCTTCCTGTCTGATTTTTCTGTCACTCCCTTGCTTTTCTTTATATGCTTCTTTACTTTTAAACACTTCTTTGGATGCTTGGCTTACCTGGATCCTCTTGGGACATCCTTCTTGATCTGCACCACAAATATTTTAATACGAAATCATAGGGAATTTGTGCTATAACCTCAGTGCTTTCTGCTAAGCACAACTTGAGGTCCTTGATATAAAAAGCTAAGATTTATAACTATCAGCAATGTCACATTTTCTTATTTAATTATGATTAATACTTGGATAATGAAATAACTCACCTCTTTTGGGATCCTGAATTTCTTCGGATTGCCTCCAATTCAGCCAACAGAGATGATATCTGAGAAAAGGTTACATTAACACTGTAGGTTTAAGCAATTCATTTCTCCATCTTCTCTCCCCTGAAGTACTGAGGCAGGCTCCCGGGTGGCCTCTGTGTGCAGGTCTCACCCCTTTCTACTCCACTCTCCTCTGCAGCCACAAAGCTATTTCTAAAATGTAAGTTTGTCATTTCACCCCCCACGCCCCACCCCCATGCCCCTCCAGCTGAAGCCCCTTCCATGGTTACCCACTGAGGAAAAAGGGCAAGGTCCTTCAAATGACCTGCCAGATCTTTGCTGTTATGGCCTCTGCTTACCTCTCTCTCTCTCTCTATCTGTTTTTGTTTTTTTTTGAGACAGTCTTGCTCTGCCCAGGCTAGAGGGCAGTTACATCATCACAGTTCACTGCAACCTCCAACTCTTGGGCTCAAGCGATCCTCCTGCCTCAGCCTCCCGTAGCTGGGACTACAGGCACATGCCACCACACCCGGCTAATTTGTCCATTCTATTCCATTTGCCTAGAACACCTTTTTATGTTAGCTTAGAATGGTATTCAATAGCTCAGTGTCTATTTCTTCTTGGAGGGAGGTCCTCCCCAACCCTCAAAGAATGGGTTAGGTGCCTATTGCCTATGTACTACTATAGAACCTTTGGTTTCTATTATCATGGTCCTCACCACATGATATATGAATTGCTTATAAAGCATATCTTGCTTCCAGGACCACAGATGCTTCAAGCAGGCAAAGGCAGCATATACCTGGCTCGTTTCTATACTCATAGCTCCTAGTACAGTGCTGTGACTGAGAAGGTACTATCTTAATTTTTGCAGAAGTAGATGAGAGCAGGCTTTGTGGCCTGCTCCAAGTGTCAGTGAAGAAGAGGACCTCTCTAGACTGATGAACTTAAAGCTTCCAAACAAGCTCTCTGGGTTTTTACCAAAAACCTTTAGGGTTCATGAGTCCACATGGTAAGAGTCAGGACGAACACATGGGGCATGACTTTGGAGTGTAGTTGTCTGGGATCGTTCTTCCTAACTGCTAATATGAAAGACCTTTTGAAAGCCTCCAAGGTTGTAGTCGTATATGAGGTGGGGAGAAAAAAATGAAAGCCTCCAAGGGCCCTAGAGTTCATCTCCAGAGTGGTAGAGGAGGAAGAAAACTGGACTCCAAGTCAATCAGGAGATGAATATACAGTAGTTCTTGCTATGTCATCACATGACTGTACCACTTTGGAACTCAGATTCCTCATCAGTAAACAGAAGGGCTTAAGCCAGACAAATGCTTAGGTGCCCTGAGCTCCCACAGTCTAGGCTATCGTTGCAGGGGAACCTGCAGAGCTCCACCACATGGGGCTACTTTCCAATCTTAACAAACGTTCTGATGCCTGGGCAGAAGTGAGCCACAGCACTGCACCATTTGAATTAGCAGGAAAAAAAGCAGGTACATCTACATTTTAGCTAACAATAGAACAGAGACACTGAGTGCCTAGTGTCTTGGCAACTGGAGGTGGTGGAAGGTGCTGTGATTCCCATGTGAAAAAGCTGGCAATGGGTGTTTTGAGAAAACTGCAGTGGGAGGGCTAAATGCAGCATCTATAAGCTGAGTCAGATCCCAGCGAGAAGACTCCCTCCCTGCATGCAGCAACCTTCAGTGGTTTGAACTATCATTAATGGGCATACATTAAGAAGCCTGGTGAATAAATATTACCTGAGTATTATACAAGGAACACAAATTACTAGGAATGTAAGTTTCTTTTTTTTTTCTTCCTTATGAGGGAATATAAGTTTCAACACAACAGCTAACTCTGAAGGTGTCAGAACATGAACTTTAGCCACATAGGGTACTCTTGTTTCCCTCAGCCATTAGAGGTAAAGACTTAGGTAAATGTTTTAAATATTTAATTAAAAGGCATTATTTCTTTTCTTAAATAATATCATTCCCCTAGCAGTGACCTCCTTCCTTATTATATATATTTTTTTAAAAAGCCTTTGAAGAGAGAGGTTGAGCCTAGGAACAGGAGCTTACGATGGTAGCATAGAGAGAAACAAGCCCCACTTCCATGGCATGCAAGATAAGTTGGCACATTCCAAGCCAACAGAAAGGCAGGACTCAAGTTACAGCATAGCTCAGCTTTCCTCTAATGGAACTCTTCAGGCTTAAAAAGCTTTGACGAAAACAGAACAGAGTGACTAATGAAGATAGAAGGCTACGTAGGAAACAATACAGATGGAAGGCTTTCCACGAGTCAAAGCAATTGGCACTCACATGTATTACACAGTCTCTAGAGTCAAGCCTTTGTTGTTTTCCTTTCAAGCTTCCCCTAACAAATTGCTCACTCACTTAGGCCCCAGCCATAGCACAAACCTGGCAGGCTCCTTCCCCAGTAATCCAAGACAGAAAACCTGCCTTGATGCCAGGGCAGTCCCAAATCACTCTCTGAAAGCCTACTATGTAATAAGGCTTTATTGTTATCTGTGAAATACAATGAGGCTTTAAGACTGGAGGCAGAATCTAATCAGCTACACTCCAATGGTTCGAGCTCTGCCATCAAATGGCTGTGCCCACTGGGACAAATGGGCCTCTCACATTGGAAAATGCACGAGGAATGGAAGTCTCTCTGTTAGAACAGAGGTGACAAAAGTACCTTGGTGCTCTCTCGCGTGTCTTCAAAAAGCTCCACCTTGAAGCGTGTGCCGTTAAGGGAAACAGTGGAAGATGGCTCTGAGTCATGGAGTTCGGACAAGGTCAAAGCACTGAGCTGTTCTTCCAGAGAAAGGGCAAGACCCTCACCCTTCAGTTCCGTCGGATCCAGGGCCTGAGCAGAATAAGAAAGGGGATAGGAGCAGCTGGGAATCAACGCAGCACACCTTATTACTTGCTGATGAGGTTCTGATTGTTTAACACTTCACAGAACAAAATGTCTATAAGTGCTCAGAGAAGCCCTGATTAAAGTATGATCTTACAAGTTTTTCACCAGATTAAAGATAAACCAAATGATGGAACTTTTTAAAGACTCACCAGATTATATAATCATTCTATTTTTCCCAGCTAGAATAATACAGTTAATTAAGCTGATAGTCAAAATACATGATTACAGCTCCTAAAAACAATAGCATACTCCTCTTAATTTTGGATGTGCCTCTATCCAACGTAAAGGCAACGTTTTGATTTGTGTAACTACCTGAGTTTTCATAACTACACTGAAAAGCCCCAATGCTTCTGAGGGCAGAAAACACCAATAGTAAATTAGCTTTAGGACATTCTGAAATACCAAAAACCTTTATGACATTCTGAAATACATTGTGAAGCACTCACAAATACTTTCCTTTTTAACAAAATGACATTTTCCATTCTGAAACAAAGTTTATCTGAAAGAAAACAATATAAATACACTCTTCTCAATGCCACGGGAATTGCCATGATTAATAAAGATTAATATAAAATAAGTGAAATAAGCAAGCCCCCTCTTCTCTGCCTCATCAAAAAACAAAACTAAAAAACTCTCAAAACACGATTTCCTTTGATCCAGCTGACTGGATCCCAGTTTCAGGAAGCATTAACAGACTTTTCTGGTGGCTCCCCTGGGGCACCACATGACACTGTGCTAAGGGCTTTTCTTACCGACTTCAGCAGGGAAAGATGACAGCAACACTGGCGGAGTCGCAGCAACTGGGACAGTATGTGGGCGGTGCTGGATCTGTGTGAGTCTGCTGCCTCGGAGTGTCGAAGCCCCGTGTCCCCAAACTCCTGTGCCACTTCCAAGAGGGGAGACAAACCACAGGAAATAGTACAGGATTTAAAACAGAGAAATGCACAGAATCGGGAACCAAATGAGGCTACTTTAAACTTGTTTGATCTGAGTTCAATAATATCATTATAACTCATCTTTATACCAATTAAGCCAAACCTACGTGCATTTTAATAAAGCAGATTTAGAAAACAATTAAAAAGACATTTAGATCACCAGGTGTGGTATTTGCAGATTAATATATTTCACTCTGGTTTGAAGCTTTTAGCTCATGGAAAATCTCTGACACCAAGGATTCATAACGTCCGGTTTCTGTATTTTACTGAATCTGAATCTCCAATTTCGTTAGTCGTATGTATTTATGAGCGTCCCACAGCTTACCTCTGCTGAATGGATTATCAGGACTTCTTCCAGATTGGTTGCCTCCATTTTCATGTCTTTTTAGATAAGACTGCAGAGCTGACCTGCCTCAGATCAAAAAGAAAATGCACTAAGAACAGAAAGGTCTGCAACAGTCCCTGCTTAACTGTGCGTGCACTGAGATCTTGGCAAATTACAGAACTGGACTCGTTTAATGATGCCACGCTCATAGCAAGCACTGGCCAAAAGCAATGCAAAAGAAATAATTATTTTTTTAAAAAAATCATTTCTTGACATGATCTAATAAATATATGTTCTAAAAAGAGAAAAAAACACATTTACATTGGAAATGAGAGGTACCAGATGAGAAGGAGCAAATCTGGAATTCAGGGAAGGATAAGAGTTCAAAAGAAAGTGCAAAGAATAGATAACATGAAAGATCACAAAGCAGTTTTTTCTTTTTTTTTTAATTCCAGTGAGATGCTGGATGACAGGTAAAAGGTCAAAGAGACATAATTTTCTAATACAGCCCATGACAGCCAGATAGATTCAGTGTACAGTGACCATACTCTACAACTTCTATATAAGGAAGTCAATGAATAGGTTCAAAATTTTGTCTTCAATATGTAATAATATATAAGACAAACGTGAGTTAGGGAGGGGAGAAAGGGGAATAAAAAAAGGAGTATAGACATCTAACTTTTCAATAATGCCATAAATACAGTTTATGGAAATTTGGTACTCAACTCACTCCCAAGCAAAGACAGGAATAAAACAATACACGCAAGAAGGTGCTTCATCATTCCACACACCTTGATCTTGCAAAAAAGACATTGTAAACAATCTCTTCATCTTCAGAAAGCTTTAAATGGTGCAACTGAAATTTGCGCTGGGGCAGTATCACCTGGAAGAATAAAAGAAAAAAAGAAGCTGGAGTGAAGCAATACGATTTAACTGAATATTACAGTGCATGGGAAGGCAGGCCTTTCCCAAAAACAGGACTGCGCTGACACAACTGGACTGCTGTAACACAAGGCACAGGGCTGCAGCCCTGGGGCCTCCTTGCAGAAAAATAAATGGGAGATTCAGAAGCTCGTGAAGCAGAGCTGATGGCTGTTCAACCCAAAACAAGGACATGGTCATCCTCCTCCCCTGGCCTCCCCCAGGGACAGGTACGAATTTGATTACCAAAGGTTTGCCAGTAGAGTCCAGCTGGTCTTTTGTTCTTCTCAGCAAAAGGCTCTTGGTTAAAATACTTAACCGTTCTCCACCTTTCTTTGAACCATTGTCGACCTGACTCTTCCACAGATTGAACTCATCAAATGGAGAACAACGGAGGAATCTTTTTTGTTAAGGAAGAAGGGCAAGGGGTAGGGAAGGAGAAGGATGGGAGAATGGAGTAAAGGTTCAAAGTAAGAGATAAGATAAAAAAAAAATCAGATTTTCTATTACATCTGTCATCCAATCATCTTTAAAGGTAAATTTCGTAGCAAAGCTCTGCTACACAGATCAAAAGGATCAAAGTCAATAATGCAAACCACATTATAAAAATGTGATTTTTCTCATTAATAAGCCATTGTCACAATAGGACATATAACCAATAGCTAGAATTTATTCCTAAAACTTCAAAGGCTAGCAAAGAAATCCCACATCCTCTTATGGCTGACTTGATTTAAAGGAAGTATTTTAAATTCAGCATTCTTTTCTGTTTGCTTCAACTAAATTGCAGTCCTGATCCTAGGCCGTATGTTTTAAAGCAGAGGTAGCCCAAAATATTCACTGGACTGAAGAAAGATGACTTTTGCTTCCTTTAATTCAATCTGTCCTACACCTTTGCATAAACAGGGGCTAAATGTAATCAAAATCCTATATCAGCCAGTCAATCAACAGATATTTTCTCATAAATATTTATTCTTCTGAACTTTAAAGGCTGACAGGCTTGCCATCTGCTACACGAGATAATCTGGCACACCCTGGAGCTTTATCTTGAGACATGCAATAATGATGAAGGGTTGCAGACAGGGCTCACATTTACACAAATCCAGAGAGGTTACTCACTTCAACAGCGAATACATATCCAACAAGTTGTTTTGAATGGGGGTTCCAGTGACAGCCCAACGGGCATGGGCTTGTAGCTTGCACACCGCTATGGATGTCTGCACCCGGGGATTCTTAACATTGTGAGCTTCATCCAATATGATTCGAGCCCAGACTATTCGAAGCAAAGGTGTTGAGATGCCCTGGAAGAAATACAAGTGAAATCCAACAACAAATGTGGGAAAATGTACATGTCCTCAAGGAGATAAGGGGAAATAAGAGCCAGGTGTTGAGGATCCACTTTTACTCTCAAATTTGCTTACATCAGGAACACTGACGTAAGAGTTAGGAAACTCAAGAGTAGAACCGCTCAACTGGTTCAAATAAACAAGTTACACCTGAGAGTCTCAGACCTTGAGCTTCAGATGCCAAGAGTAACATGTTCTCTAATTTGAATTTTCATTTATTCTTTCAACCCACATTTAACCACTTAGGTACGGCGCTCCCTGGCCACGAAACCTTGCCCACAGCTGGCACTCATAGGCCGCACGATAGTTTGTGCTGTGCATTGATGAGGCATCCGTTTTGCTCTTGTGTGATGAGGAAAGCTTTAAAGCACTGAAAGCTTGTTTTGCTTTACAGGCAGCTTTACTTGTAATGTAAATCAGAATAGGTAACATATACATATATGTTTTCATTACATTATTTTTAAATGTTCACCATTTTATTTTGATGAATGAAAAATTAGAAAAGTCGTATCATGGCTGTCGGCTAAAGTCTATGCTCGGCTGTGTGTGTTCATCTGTGGCTGTTGACTATAGCCAGCGCTGGTTCCGAAGTGGTTAAGCAATGGCTATAGGCCAGAACAACACTAGGTATTGAGCCTGCAAATTCACTCACTCAATAAAATATTTACTACATCTTACTAAATTTACTAAAAGCCTTTTAGATGTAAGATATTTAGCCAGACATAAAGAATAGTTCCTACCCTCAAGAGCTCAAAATCTAGCAGGGGAGAAAAATAAGTATGAAGCTAATTATGACCCAATGTATATATAGTAAGTCCCACTGCATAATTCAATACATGAAGTGGGAATCCGGCTGGTCTTGTTCATTACTCTATCCCTGATCCTAAAATAGCCCCTGACCTACAGCAGATACTCAGTATCTGCTGAATAAACAGAATGCTACAACATAAGCAAGCACAAGGTGCTAGCAGAAACTTTCAACCTCATGACAAGGAAAATGGGAAGGGGCCTCCAGAAAGGATCCCCAAAGCAGGTTAAAAAAAGTTAACCAATGAAAAGGAATAGAGGCAAAGCATTCCATTCAGAGGGAGAACAAAAGCACAACAGTGGGGACAGAGCATGCAGGGTGTAGGAGAGATGAGGGACCCACAGGAAAGGCAAGATCGTCAAGAGTCCGCTATGTTATGTAAAGGGATTTGGAGTTCTCCGAAAGCAATGGAGAGCCACTGAGCAATCTGGAAAGGTCATTATCTCTAAGAAGTCAGAGTTGTTCATAGCTGGAAAAGTGTTCTAGAGATCTCTCCAATAAAAAAATCTGTGAATACCCTATTGTACTAGAAAGGAAAACATGCAAAAGATCAGTTATTGGAATAATACTATAGTTTCAGGGGGGAAAGGCCCTGAAAATAATTATGCAATAATCATACAACTGAGGCTACCCTGGATCTGCTAGCAAATGATCCCGTGGTTTTCTTCACGGTTCTCATTTAGCCTTTGGCCCATTTGTAGTCCAATTATTTGCAACCCTTTTTTCTGGGAGGTATAGGGAAGGCAGGAAACAATGGCTTTATACCAAAACACTAGTGCTAGAATAGTAGTCTATGCAATAAATATAAAACACAGCTTGAAAGTATACCCCAAATTCTCTAAAATCAAAATAGCACAAGAGAAGCTTTCCTGTATTCAGGTGATTATTACCACCACAATTGCAATGCAGTTATCTTTAATTCTAAAACACGACTGAACACTGTGTCAAATATCAACCTTCATCTCTGAGGCGGTGATGGGATGGAGGGAAAGAACTACTCCTTTCCACAGGTGGCGGATTTAGAGCATTGCTGACCTCAAAGGAAGGTGCTTTTGCTATCTCTGAGGCTGTAAAAGACTCCTGTTAAATGATGTATGGCTCCAATTTTACCGTGCTGGCCCTCCCCACGCCTCACCTCCACATTGAGGCTTACACCTGGGATCTCTCCCTCCTGCTTGTTTGTGGGAATCTCCTTGGCCACAAGGCTGTAGGTAGTGATCACGACGTCATATGTGGAAAGGCTGCATAGATATAACACAAAGCAATCAATAAATGATCCCTCTATGGACTGTGACAACAGAGAGAACATGCCTATGACAGGAAGGACAGACAGCAGAATCATTAACTTCTGTCCTTACTACATGTACAAAACATGTTTACAGTCTGCACACTATAGTTAGAGGCCTCCTTCTTCCCATCCAATGTATCAAAAGGGAAATGTCTGGCTGGGATTATATTAAGTTTGATATGATCTGCCCAGAACAGAAAGTAGGGCAGAGCTGGGAATTAACATTTAATAATGATTTGAGATGGATGACACCAAAGTCCCAGGGAAGAAACCCTCAAAGCACCTTACACCAATGATGCTTTCTCCCCACCACTCTTTAATGGATTTATGAAAACCCACTGATCTAGCTTTGACATTTGGATATAAAAATACATTCTGTAAGCTTTCAGTTTATCTTCCTTATACCAATTATGTGTAAAGACTCTCAATGAAAAGCACAAGTCTTTTTCCAATGAAGCTTAATATTGTGCATCTGAGAGAACTTCAATAAATACTTTTATAAAACAATATGCCCAATTCAGAGAGGCAGCAATGCCTACAAGTTGCCTTTGCATCATACAAAGAAGTGTAATTGAGAATGATTTCACTAGGTCACCTAGCACATTCTGAATACCAAACAAGTTATCCTCAGAGTGTAAATCAAGTGAGATCCAATTTATTTCTAAATAGAAACTTAGAACAACAGCAGGCAACCGACAGTACCTTCTGCCAGGGAGGGCCTATAGGCCCACCACTGCTGCCCTGATACCTCTCACCTGCTAAAGTGACTGTCAGTTTCAAGAATCAGTTTGTGATAAGACTGAGGGTCACCAATCTGGCAATTTACTCCTGAAAAAGATTGCTGCCCTGTTCTTTGGGGGATACAAAGGGTGGGCATTTCCTTCCTCCTCCTTGAGCATCTTCCTTCAGGAATTTATAGTTAAGTCTAATCATCCTAAACTCCTGAATCTAAAGCTTCTTAGATGAGTCATATGTTAAAAATACAGCCATAAGTGTATAATCAGCCTATAACAACTAATCATTAGTATTCTATCAAGATGCTATGTAAGACTGGGTCGGGTTTCATTCATACTAACAGAAAAAGAATGTAAACCTGGAATCAGCACCATGAAAGACTTGCGACATGTCCTCTTGTACCAGGGCAATGCTGCCACCACCTGGCGGACAACTCAGGCATCTGGGGTCTCCTCCCAGGACAGCTTTTGTTGGGTACAGTGACAAGGACATAGTAAAAGAATACCATTTGATCCCAAGATATATCTCTTAGTACGGGCCAAAGGTGATAAGAGTGGAAATCTGCCTTTGGTCTTTATAAATATTAGTCCTGACTGAGTGAAATCTCAGAGAAAGCAGGAAAGGCCAACAGGGCTCCTCAGGGCCAGGTGCTCATGGCCTCCAGGACGGCACTATTTCTGCACTTACACTTTCGCACGTTGGTCCCGGTTTGGCCCATGATAGAGATAGACTGTCAGTTTGTTGCTGTTCACACGTTTCTGTACCTCATTTTTCCAATGATGGATCAGGGAAGCAGGACAGATGATTAGTGTTCCGTGGGAAGTAAAGTCAGGGGAGTCTTGAGAGGGGGGAAAAAAACATCAACAGTTACATTCATTAAATGGCCTTTAACTTCTTAAACACATTACCTCTTTCCTTAACTGACTTTACTCCTTCAATCAATATTTTTAACTGCTGCTCTTATTTCTACACAGAGCCTCTAGTGAAACAGGGAACAGGAAAGATGGCCTTTTTAGCCAAACACTTAATTATTTATTTTCTCCTGTAAAAGTGTCAGAGAGAGGCCGAAAGGGAAGAGGAAGGAGGAGCAAGTGCATGACCTCAGTCTAAAAAAGCAACATACTTTCACAGGGTGGCCAGAGGTAGAAACTGGATTGCATCCTAACTCCTCCTGGGTTGATTCATTACAGGGGAGTATTAGAGTATTATTTTTTCTGAAAAGCATAACTTAGTGTATTTCTACATTAAAATAAAAGTGCAGAACTTTTTCTCTAAGATAAGCAAACGTTACTTTGGAACCAATTAGTGATGGAGAGTTTATATCATCATCCCCCATCTCTGTGTGTGTGCACATGCTACTCCACACGTGCTGCTACTCCACACAGGGATCCAGGACCCAGGTGCAACAGTGCTCATTAGAAGCCCTGAGAGCAGACAGCCACCGATTTTTTATTTGTCTAACCAACTGAGGGCTGTATTTGAATACGTGGCAACTTACATGTGGTGTTATCTACACATAATATATAAAATCTTTAGAGTACTTATAGAGTTGTTACATTTTATTTTTATTTAATTTTTTAAAGAGATGAGGTCTTGCTATGTTGCCCAGGCTGGTCTCAGTGATCCTTCCACCTCAGCCTCACAAGCAGCTGCAACTACATGCATGCAACATCGCACTCGGCTCAAGTTATTACATTTTGAAAACATAGGCTCAGATAAGATAAAAACTGTCTATGATCTGTAAGTTTCTGGAGTTTCAGAAACATGAAAAACCAGCATCCACTATGGTGGCTGAAATATGCATTTGTGACAGATCTTCCTTAAAAAAAATAATACATAATTAATTTGGATCTAATCTGTAGTTATAATCTCAACATTAACAAAAATAATAATTATTATATTATGCTTAAACTAGGTCTTCTAGCATCTCAGCTTTCTCCATAATTTTTTTTCTATAAACAGATCATGCTAAATTTATATTAAAAACGAAAAAATGATCACTTATAATTAGACTACTCAGCATCAGAAATGATACCATCATCAAGTAATCTAATAGTGGTTTCCCAGTTGATGAATTAAATATGACTCAAGGTGTCCTTTTATAGCTTAAAACTTTATCCTTCCGGATGGCTCAAATAATGCAGGGAACGGCAGGCTACTAAGCGCTTGTGTCTACCGTCTTTGGAAAGCCACGTCAAAGCTGTGTTTCTGTCCTTTTTTTGGTCTTTTTCTTGATTCTTCTGGGTCAGGATGAGTGCAATCATTGTCAGGGTTTTTCCTAAACCCATATCATCCGCTGGAAAATAAAAGCAAAATTAAGAGTTAATTACCCAGGGCAAAGAATCCACCCAACTTCAAGAGAAGAAACCACTGGCAGACATTTATCCCTTGCTCTTTCTTTCTCTCTACTGTTAGGGCCATTCCAGTCACTTTTTATTTTTTTATTTATTTATTTTTTTTTTGGAGATAGGGTCTTTGTTTCCTGGGCCAGAGTGCAGTGATGTCATCATAGCTCACTGCAACCTCAAACTCCTGGGCTCAAGTTATCGTCTTGCCTTGGCCTCCCAAGTAGCTGGGATTACAAACACTGTCACTAAACCCAGCTAATTTTTCTATTTTTTATAGAGCTGGTGGGGGGAGGGGTGGTCTCACTAGATTGTTCAGGCTGGTCTTGAACTTCTGGCCTCAAGCAATCCTCTTGCCCTGGCCTCCCAAAGTACTAGGATTACAGGTGTGAGCTACCATGCTCAGTCCCAGTAATTATTCTGTGCCAACCTGAATGGTTCCTTCATCTCCCTTATTAAAATGAGCTCTAGCTCTTGCTATTTATTGAGACCTACTCAATGACATTTGCTACAACTTTTGTTAAAATTTAAACTTATAACCTGGATCTTATTGTAGTCTCCATGTAACATTATTACTTGTCTAATGTGCACTGATTAATATCTATTTCAGTTTGATGACAGTGCCTATTCTTTTTATCTCTTACCTCTAAAAGCAAAAGAAGTCCAGTAGATAGATATATCCTACTATTTGCTGGTGCTACCACATTTCTGGAATTAAAGAGTTAACTCAAAACAGTCTTCCATTCCTTTAACTTATTCATCAAAAGATATAAATCAACATTCCGTGGATATTATCACAGTGTCAGTCACTGAGCTTACCTAATTTACAATTCAGACCCTTTAGAGTACTATTATCCTCATTTTAACAGATTGCAACACTGAAGATCAGCCATCAGGCTACTAAGCTCATTCAAAGTAATCGTTCTGACACAGCAGAACTGAAAGGTCAGAGCATAGGCTCTGATTCAAATCCTGGCTCTGCCACTGTGCAGAGTTCACAAATCAGGCCTGTAGGTCCATCTGCTATCCTTTGAAAGGCCTACTCACAAGGATGGCCCTTGGCCAGCATCTGGGAACTCAGATTTAGAGAGGGTTCTCACCATTTCAGAACTGATAAGAGTGGCTCACTCTGCCTAAACTGTTTGTACAAGCAATATGGTTTATGTTGTACACCTGCTTTCCTTCTGGGAGTACGAGATTTGGTACATACCAAGCTAAAGGTGCCTACATAACCAGCCCCCAATAAAATTCCCTGGGCACTGAATCTCTAGCGAGCTTCCTTGGTTGGAAATCTTTTATAACTGTTGTCACAACTCACTGCTGGAAGAATTAAGTGTGCCCCATGTGACTCTACTGGGTAAGGTCTTGGTAGCTTGCTCCTGGTTTCCCCTGGATTTTGTCCCATGTATCTTTTCCTTTTGCTGATTTTGATCTGCATCCTTTCACTGTAATAAATCAGAGCCGTGAGCATGACTATATGCTTTGAGTCCTACTAATAAATCATTGAACCTGGAAGTGGACTTGGGGACCCCCAACACATCACTTACTAGCCATAGTGGACATCTGTTGTGTTTTCTAAAAGTTGAGCACCTTGGAAAAGTTTACCCTGACAAGTCCCAAAGCGGAGCAAAAAACTTGGCTTTCTAGCCCCTGTTGCAGCTTAAGCACTGGCAACATGACAAGGCTCTATACATCGGATGTACTCACATAAGACTTTCATTCAAGTATAAGCAACTCTCTAGAAAAGAGACTCCCTATGCAATCCTTTCTGCAGGAAGCGGTGGAGACAGACACTTCTGACTTTGGGGTGGCATTGGTGGAGCAAAGAAGCTGTGACACTTTCCATAGAACACTCAGTCTGTGACTTAGCTGTGGCCACTGCTCCTGGAAATTTGGCCTCTAGCCTGGCACTCCACATCTCCCAGAGATTCCAGGGGCCACCAAAGAATAAACTCCTCCTCTGCTTAATTACCCAGAGCCAGCTTCTTCCGTTTGCAAGCAACACCTCTGATCCTACAGCTGTGTATTTTTGAGTAAGTTGCTTAACATTTCTATGTCTCAGTTTCCTTCCCTGTAAAATGGGGAATTATAGCACCAACCTCATAGAGTTGTTGAGAGGACTCAATGAAACAACATGATACATTTAAGGACAATGCCTAAGCATTCCATAAATGTTGGCTTTTATCACAATACCGAACTTACCCAGAATTCCTCCTTGCGGCTTCTGACTTTCCCGCCACAGTAACCAAGCTAGTGCCTGCTTCTGGTGCAGTAGCAGAGGCACCTGACAAAGGTAATAATGAAATATTAAGTAAATTAGCTGATCCTGGCTACGTGAACTCTACACTTTACTCTTTTATCTTCTGCAACTGATCTCAATATTCTAGGTGTCTTTATATAAACTGCTTGTTTCACCTTGAAATTCTTAACTGCGTCCTCTCACCTACGGTAACCACACCGTGTCCTGGTCCACCTGAGTTTATGTTTTGGTTTATGTCTCATGTTCTATTAAGAACCGCTCCTCCCCCCAGTGAGAGCCCTGGTTTGTCTGCTTAATCAAAGCCATTTTTACTGCTTGCAACCAAGACCTCTGACTGCTCACCCTCCTTTCACCAGCCATTCCATTGGCCTTTCCTTATCTCTTCAATTTGCCTCTCCTTTCTGCAGCCAACGTCCCATCCTCATTGCTACTCATAAATTTCAATAGCCCTCTAACTGAAGAACCCCTTCTAGTCCTGTTGCATTCCAGTTTATCTTATACTCTATGAGAAAAATTAATCTTCCTTAGCCATCCCTGCTCAAATGCTAGTGATTCCATACCATCTCCTGAGCTATTCAAATTTAATCCTTCACCAATGCCACGCTACACACCAAGCCAGTCCTCCTCCTCCTCAGTAACATCACCTGCTACTCCCAGCTCAGGTACCAATGACACCTGATCATCACATATCACTGCCAATCTCTATATTTTCCCTCTAACCACCACTCCCTCTAATTGCAGCATTTGGTTTCTATCTTCTCTGCTATCTTAAGGCTTGCAGTTTCTTTCAGGTACAAAGCAAATGGGCAACAAATAAGTATTGACCTAGAGCGATGCTTCCCTTAATTTGAATCCCTTCCGTACTTTGTATACAGTCAATAGTACATTACAAGGCACTTCTTATATCTGTCTTTAAGTCATTTTCTAATTGTTTTATATATGTTGTATATGCACTTCCACTCCAATTAGTTCATTAAAAGCGGCAATTCTTTGGCATTCTTGTGGCACCCACAAACTCAATAAGTAGATCTGTCACTGCTATAGAAATATATAACTTTATGGCTTTTTTTAAAAGGGTTGTTTTTGTTGTTTGTACTGCTAATCACAAGAGGAGAAAATATTGCAAGCATCTATCTGTAGGAAAGATACATCAGAACAGCACTCCGCCAGACACTTCCACAGTGGTCTCTGTGTTCAGGGCCACTGGACCACTGCCATGGGAGACTCCGTACAATGAGCCTTCCCTGCTCACCTTCAACCCAGCAGGATCTTCTGCCACAGCTGTCTCACCAGGACGTGACGCAAGGGAGCGATGCAGCTCATCAATGGCTTCACTTGTGACCTGCCACACTGCGTGAAGACAATTTTGGTTTGTAGTGCCTGCATAGAAACAGGTATTATGTAAAGATGTCACAAGTATTATATCCTGGCCAGCACTGCAAAAAAGCAATTAAATTATTTGCCAGATGATGGCTCTGTGTTGACTAAAAATCCTTATGTCTGGATTCATCTAGTCTCACAGGCTCCTCTGTCCCTATTCTGTTTTTTGTTTTTTTTTAAATCACATAAATAATTATTATAATATAGGACAAAATAATAAAATGTATAATGAAACAGAGAACCCATGATATTTCTGGTAGGTTTTTTTTTTCCCGCTTTGAAGAGGTGGCCAAGAAAAAGGCAACATCATCCAGTGTTTTAGGAAGAAAAGATCCCTGGAGTTGGATGCAGAGAAGGAAAGTGAGAGATGTAAAAGGCCAAGCTAGAAGCAGTCTGAGGACACTTAGGTAGACAGGGAAAAGACAGGCCCTAAACTGCAGGGGATGAGCTGACTGTACACTGCACTGGGAAATACTCAGGATCAGCCCATGCACCGTACTCAGGAAGCTCTACAGAAGTTACTTAACGACTACAGGCACCTAAGCTGTTTGCAATTTTAGAGATAAAGCATCCCAAATAAAAAGTTTCTAGACAAATGAAAGCTATTTAAATGTTTTAAAATGAAAAATTATTTCCAACTCCACTACTCTTAACAAAATAAAATAAAATAAAATAAAATAAAATGAAAAATTATTTTAACAGAATTCTTCCCAAAACATATTACATGCTCTTATACCTTAATAACCCAATTTAATTTTTCTCTACGTGATTTGAGCACCGGTTACTATTACTGAATGATGCTGTAACATGATGACGTTCTCAAAAGGCCTCCTGAGCAGCCAAGACGGTGATGCTACTTGAACAAGTGTGTTTCCTTTTCTCATTCAGAGTGGGCTCAGTTTCAAATGGCACTGTGTGTATTTCTTAGCCCCCTTGTTAACTATTCTCTGCAACTTTCTACAGCTCTAACAGTTGCCAATTGGGAGAAAACTGGTTTTAGCTTTCCTAGTCACCGTGAGCAAACCTGGGCTCCTGTCTCCTCACCAGCAAGCCAACCAATTCTATTATGTATCTAGGGCTCTACTTGGAACTTAAGTTCTGCAGTTACTTCTAAATTCAAAGTTGTCTGGGAAGTTCAGGACGTTCACATTTAGCTAACCACAGTACTACTACTCTCTGTGGGTCTGTTAGTCATGGGTCTTGACTCATGTCATGTCTGTGCTCTGCCTTAACACACATACATGGGAAGGAATAAGAATGCATCTGTTTGTCTACCGACCTCACAATGATATGGGCTAGCATCTTCATTCACAAACACTGACTGGACGACTGCCGAGAGCCCACCACTGGGCTGACTAATCAGCACAGCGAGGTGAACAAGGGAAATACAGCCTCTGCCCGCAAAGAGAGCTAAGTAACACTGTGCAAAGCTCTACTGAGCACCATGATCTTTATCACAGGGGCAACTTACAACCTGAGAATGGCTTCTCCCTCCACATGGGCACAAAGCCATCTATGTTATCCGTCCCCCTTATCAGCAGGGGATACATTTCAGGACCCCCAGTAGATGCCTAAAACTGTGGACAGTACCAAACCCCACATATATTATGTTTTCTCTTATAAACTGTAATTTGTACATTAGGCACAATAACAGATTAACCACAGCAATAATAAAACAGAATAATTGTAGTAGTATACTATAATAAAAGTTTATGTGAATGTGGTCTCTTGCTCTCAAAATATTTTACTGAACTCACCTATCTTTGAACCATGGTAACTAAAATTGCAGATGAGAAGGGACTACTGTAGTAGCTAGTGCTTAACTCACAGCTATAGCTATTCACAGCAGGGCCAGGCCCCTGGACCTTACCTCCGGCAGCCACCTGGCAGGCAGCCTTCAGTCCCAGGGAACCCGTAGGCTGGGCAGCATGACCCGGAAGGGGTTGGGGAGGCACCAGGTGGGGAGGGCCAGTGGCAGTTTTGGTGGAGTTACTCTGTTGTGGTACTTCCGTGCTATTCTCATTAGTTCCTGCTCAACGAGGGGAAGAACAGATTAAAATTCAGCAAAGTAAAAGGACTGTTTGTGTGGAGGGGAGTCAAAAGAAACTGTGGATCATTCCATTCCAATAACTGGAAGGGCTTCCTAGACAATGTAGCTCTTTAACTGCTGCTTAAACTATGGGAAAGAGCACTTAGTCCACAGGGAACAGGATAAAGTTTTTATAAATCATCGGTGTAATTTAAAAGAAAGCTCAGGATAAAATAATAAAATGGAAAGCTGAATGAATCAACACATTCTTTATCTAAATGGCTTCCCAAAGTCTCTTGTGACGTTGACGCAAGCCCTGAGTTCTGAGGCACAAACTACTTCACCTGGGTCCGGCGAGAGGGCGAGAGCACCCAGCGCTTCCTCCAACACCTGGATTTGCTCGAACAACTTCTGGCCCTTGTCGGGAAGAGCGTGGATGTTCACTGATGCCAGTGTGCTCTGAAAAACAGATCCTATCAAGTGGATCTCTCGTCTCAAGTTTTAGAGGGATAGTCTCCTATTAAAACTAGCCTAGAATGCCAAAACTCTAAAATTATGGTCTTTTAACTATGTGCATGAAAAGAGGACTTTCTTTTTTTTAACCCAGTTGGCTTACCAATCCTGAAAATATTAACATAAGCATAGGAAAATGCAGAAAACATCCACCTACAAAACCTTCACACGAGCCTATTTAACTCTTCTGTGGGGGTCTCATATCTGCCCATAGCAAGCAGCGCTCTGACCTTAAGAACAAAACGCAAGTCAATGGTTACCTTCTTTTGTTTCAGTTGTGTTGTAAGGTACACACGTCGGGCTGCTGGGTCTGAGGGTTCTGCCTTCTTGGAAAGGCCTGAGGCAGGAGATGTCTTTCGTTGCATACTTTGATCAGGCAACTGAAGGTTCTCCTTCTTCTTGGAGTCCACAGTTGAGTCAAAGAGCAGGGGACTCCCAGGATTAGAGGAAACAAAAATGACATCATCTTCCTCGCTGTCACTACTGCTTGTGGCAGCTTCACGCCTCTCGCCCGGGGAAAGTCCTGGTGCTGCTGGGGACGGCCATGCCACTGGTCCTTTGGAAGCAGGTAAGCCGCGAACCTCCGACTGTGCCTGGAAATGGCCCTGGGCTGGCCTTTTCTGGATGGTCTGTGTGCCTGGGGCGGCCTTGGCCTTGGTTTCTTCAGCCTCCCAGATCTTGAGGTGCTCCTTGCTGAGAGGTCCCCCCGTTTGGGGCTTGCTTACTGGGCTCTGACTGTGAACTTTTTGAGGCAAAGGCTGGGTTTCCTTTTCTCTCAGAGGTTTTGACTCTCTTTGGACATCTTGACTCTTACCATTTGATTTCTCCTGAAGAGACGCAGATGATCTCAGCTCATTACCATGGCGCTGTTTAGATTCATTTTCAGAAAAGTCTCTCTTGTGTGTCCCTTCAGTCTCCTTTGCTTCACGCCGAAACTCTGCCCTCTCCTGTTGCTGCTTCTCTGGAACTACAGATTGTTTTTTCTTCATCACCCGGCCAGAAGAGAGCTCCTTCTCCATCTGGCAGTTAGAGCCAGGATTCTGTTCCTTCTTGTGGTCCGAGAGCTGATCGCCCTTTTCCTTTTGCTTCTTATCAGCCATCTTTTCCTCACCTTCGCCTTTGATGAGCTGTTTCCAGAGACCTGGTTCTTGATTCTTGTCAAGTACCTTGAAGGGGTTTCTCAGCTGGCTGGAAGGATGACGGAATGACTCAGATGCATGCTGAGACTTACTGGTTACAGAATGTTCTTTGGAGTTAGGATCCTAAAGACAAATGAAAATAATCTTTTTTTTTTTTTTTATGAAAATAATCTTAACATAAAATCCTAATGCAACCTTCATATCTAGAATGTCTTTTCTTTTTCTTGTTTGCTCTTTAAAGATACCAGCCACAAATAGAATGTCTTTCCTCAGAGGAAATGGAAACAGAGTAAAAGAAGTCCAGCATCTTTAAACATTCCTGGTATCAGTTCTGTATCTAGAGAAGACAATGTGCCAAACACACCAACTACATGTCTTAACAGCCCTTTTAATACTTGGTTCCTTCTTTTTCCAAGTTCTTGCTTATCCAGGCCTCAAGGAAAAGTAGCGACCAAACTAAAGTGCTTTTACAATCACAATAGCCACAATGTATACTTTTCAGGAAAAACTATTCTCTTGAGATGGACTTTTCCCCAAAGCTAAACATGGTCCCACTATGCTTGCTTTGATTTTGGCTCTAGGAAGATCTCACTGCAGAAATCTAGAATCTTAAGTCATAACACTACCAAAACAAGTCTTGTCACCTGGCTAGGTCTAGCTCCTCATGTAGTGAATACTTGTAGGGCTTCTCCTAGTTCTAACATTCTAGTAACTTATGAATTATACTTACTGTATACCAATATCAAGCAGATACTGGTCTATAAAAAGATACTGAAGTTAGTCAAGGAAATCTAATTTTCTCCTAAATAGGAGAATACTGATTACACTTAAGACATCACAAACTGTTTAAGTGAAATAGGAAGCGAGTAATAAAATATTGAATATAACTAAATGGTCCTTTGAATTTAAAGTTCAAACAGGACCAGTCTTGCCTAAAGAAAACTATCTTTCAGAAACAGTTTGATAAAGGCTAACCAGTTTATGTGGACATCGAGGTCTTTTCAGGCTATGCTGCATATTAAACAGTCTTAACATAGCGGGTTTTAAACAGATGGATAATTCCTACCTGCCATGGAACACTTCCACACCAGTGTTTCCCCTCTGCCTTACTTCGCATGCATCGGAAGAACAATCTAATGAAGCATAAAACACAAATAATCAAGGCTGTGAAAATCCATTAAGACAAGATATTAAGTTTATTTTCAATCTTAGAAAACACTGTGCAGTTCCTTGATATTAGCTTTCCAAGGTCACTTGAAACCAATTACTCTTACACATACATTAAAAAATTCCTTACTGCACAGGACATTTATAAAGGCTCAGAATTCAAAGAATAAAGATGTTATGATATCAAAAAGTGTGCACAGGCCACGTGCAGTGGCTCACACCTGTAATCCTAGCACTCTGGGAGGCCGAGGCAGGTGGATCACTCAAGGTCAGGAGTTCAAAACCAGCCTGAGCAAGACCGAGACCCCTTCTCCACTAAAGATAGAAAGAAATTAATTGGCCAATCATAAATATATAGAAAAAATTAGCCAGGCATGGTGGCACATGCCTGTAAGTCCCAGCTACTCAGGAGGCTGAGGCAGAAGGATCACTTGAGCCCAGGGGTTTGAGGTTGCTGTGAGCTAGGCTGATGCCACAGCACTTTAGCTCAGGCAACAGAGTGAGACTCTGTCTCAAAAAAAATAAAAAAAATTCCTTACTGCACAGGACATTTATAAAGACTCGGAATTCAAAGAATAAAGATGTTATGATATCAAAAAGTGTGTACAGTTTACTCCTTTTACTCTGTAAAGCATGACTGGAATGGAAACACTACTCAGCAATGGCTACTAAAATCAAAAAAGAGATAACCAGACATTACATATCCCTTCAGGGAGGCCACAATATTAACTATAAAGTACTCTTGCAAAAAAATCCAAAAACAACCAAGCCAAAACAAAACAAAGCAAATAAAAAACTAACCTGAATCTGGTCAAACCTCTATATCCAATTATCAATTTATAGGAAATAGAAACAATAGAGGAACATGTAAAACTAGACCATGGGGGATATAATCTGCAAAATCTTGGCTGGGAAATGCCACAGGACAAACAACCTGAATCCTTCAACAAATAGATTACAAGAGAGAAAAAAAGTTAAAAAGACGTATTAATCAATTCCAATTTGTGGACCTTATTTGGATCCTGATTTAAACAAACAAAAACTACTAAAAAACCCATTTAAGACATTTATGAAGTTACAGGAAATTTGTATATTAAGTGGTATATAAAGAATCCTAATCTTTTAGAGCTACATACTAAAATATTTACAGATGAAATGATGTAATCTGGGATTTGTTTCTAAATACAGCAGCAGTCACAGGTAAAGTAGGTAGGGTATTTGGAACAAGAGTTGGTAATTGCTAAAACTCTTATGCTACATTATCCTATCCTACTTTTTTATATATTTACAATCTTCCATTAAAAAAAGACTGAAAACAGACTTATCCTAGCGCAAGATAGTCCCAGCACACACAAACATAGCCCATACTCCACCTATCCAGACATGGCTGCACTGTTCCATTCCCTAACTAAGCCATGTACTCTCCAGACTACTAGACCTTGCATGTGTACCTTTCTCCACCCAGAGGATATCCTCTCTACCCCATCTGTCCACCATCTCCACCATCTTCTCCACCTGTTGATGTCTACTAGTCCCTCAAGCCCCAGCTCAAGTCATACCTCCTTTGCAACGCTTTCCCACACTTCCTTCCCTGTTCATCCATTGAACTGCTTCTGTATTTTTGCTGTATTTAGTTGTACTACACTTGTACATGCCTGTCTGCCTGACTTTATATTTTTAGCAACGGAAGAGAGAAATCATATATGACCTCTTTATTACCAACTATGCCTTGCCTTTTGTATATAATTGTTAAGTATTGCTGCATAAAATAGAACTGATTTTTTTTCATTACCTAAGATGACTTCTCAAAAACCTTTAATCAATTAAATATGAGCTTTCTAAAAATATATTTTATTTGTTGAAATAGATAATGTATTCAATCAAAAAGTATAAAAAGGCAGTGAAGAGCTCTCCTAGACACTATCTGCCCAGCTCACTTCCCTCCCAATGTGTAACCACTCTTGTTTTTTGTTTACCTTTCTAGAGATTTTTAAATGCATATTCAAGTCAATATATATATATTCTTTATGTTTTTCCTCTTCTGCAAAAATGGGTAGCATAATATACATACTACTAAGTACCTTGCCTCTCTTTTTTACTTAACAAATGCCTTGAAGATTTTTCTGTAAGAACATATATATAGAGAGAGAGATTCCTCATGTGTTCTTTTTGTTTTGTTTTACAGGTACAGAGTTTTCCACTATATGGATGTTGTATTATTTTTAATCAGACCCTCTGGATGGACAGTGTGGCTGTTTCCAATCCTATTCTATTAAAAGCAATGGCACAACGAATAAAATAGCCTTGTGCATATGTCATTTCACATACATTTCAATACATCTGTGGTGCAATTCCTTGTTTCTCATATTGCATATTTGTGCTTTCTCTGTTTTTCTTGATCAGGTTAGCTTCTGGATTTTATTTGTTAGTTTTCTATATTGCTACATATATGATATTTTCTAACTCATTAAATCCAATTTTTAACTATATTAATTCCTTCTTTCTGCTCTCCTTCAGTTTAATTTCTTATTCTTTTGCTAACATCTTAAATTAGTCCCATGATGTACAATATACATCACAACAGTATACATCCTAATTCACAACAAATCCCAAGCAGGTCCCACTCTCTTGATGTCATTAATTCACCTGGACATAAAAGCAAAGATGAACAAGCCTCAAATGGACATGTCTTCCATAAAAGTTAAACTAAAAAGAAAATAGGTCCAGTCCCTCCCTCTCGTACAAACTTATAATTTTCCCATCCAAGCTCATGATTTTCAAAATTTTACAGGTCTCTAATTTTTCGCACTGCAGTAGCTTATTATATTGAACATATGTAATAAAATTTCTGAAATGTTTTGAATGCATAAAATTCAAAGTACTAGCTACTAGTAGGCGGTATTACTACTTATAGAAATAAATCAAGAACAAATCGCTGCTATTGCCTAAAGTATATCAAGTACATGAAATCTTTACTGAGAGAATATTTCCTAAGTAGAGTCATGTGCCACACGATGACGTTTTGGTCAATGACAGATCCCACACAACCATGGTCCCATAAGATTATAATACTTTGTTTACTGCCCTTTTTCTTTCTTTAGATACACAAATACTTAGTACTGCGTTACAATTGCCTATGGTATTCAGTACAGTAACATGCTGTATAGGTTTGTAGCCTAGGTGGATAGTAGCCTATACCAAACAGCTTTATGTAAGTACACTCTGTGATGTCTGCACAATGACGAAATCACCTAACACGTTTCTCAGAACACATCCCTGTTGTCAAGTGACTTGTGCCTGTAGTATCTATTTTAAAGCTCCAAGTCATGTACATTTTCAGAAGAAGGGCAAGGTTTGGAGAAAGAAGGAAGAAAACAACACATTGAGCATCTGCTATGTGCTAGGCACAGTGCTAAAAATGCTTTTACTTACATTTTTAATTAAAATCAATCTGGATGGGCTTCTCTGTTTTTAGGATAAAAAGTTTCTGTTTGTTATGTTTATCAAATTATAAATCAGCAAAGAAGGCAGTGGAAATATATTTTCACAGAGAAAGCAGATGTTAATTCCACCATAAGAGCAGAATTTCTGTAGTCTATTAACTAATTATTTTCCAGAGCAGAGGTCATAAACAACAACAATGAAGAAATTATTAATAGCTAGAGGAAGCCAGACCTCTTCAATCCTATCTTCTTCAGCAGAAGACAAGTCCTCTGTCCAAGCCAGCATCACATTGCCAAGTATAATCACTTTAGCGTTTGGGATTCTCTCAGGCTCTGGCACTATCCTGCCTGGGTTTGAATCCTAGCCCTACCACATAATCAGTTCTGAAACACCAGGCACCTTACTTGACTGTCCCCTGTGGCAGTTTCCTTTTTGGTAAAATGGTAAAATAATAATAATCGTAGTACACCCCTCAGATAGTCATTATGAAGATTAAACATGTTAACACATATAAAGATAAAACAGAGCAAAGCCTGATACACATCAAGGACTTCCTTGATAACAGTGACCATGAGCTCACTCCTGCCAATCGCCTTGCTTATGCCTATGTCTACCTCTCTGCTTATGCTCTGCCTGGAACACTTCCCTGTCCTTTCCTCTTATCAAAACTTTAAAGGTCATTCGCGGTCAAGTTCACGTCTCCACTCCTCCACGTTCTTAAGAACCTTTTAAATCTGTTACTGTGGGTCTTGAAGTCACAGGACAATTTGGTATCTGAATACATTCAATTCAGCACTCCAACACGCAGGTTGGACTGCTCCGCCATCGTGCTGTGTCTAACTCTTATCCCAGCTGTGTCAAAGGTCCTTTAGGGATTATGAGTTTATGTCTTTATAAGCTCCAGCACTGGAAAAAACATAAAGCTGGATTTCTATGTTATTGTTTTACATTAAAATTCAACATGAAAAAAAGTGCAAATATAAAAAACAAAACCGTAAATGCTCTAGGAAAAATACACAGATGAGTATTTTTGAAATCCTAAAGTGAAAGTTTTCTAAGCATGACATAAAACTCTAAAGCTGAGAAATAAAGAATTTAGTAATTTCATCTACACAAAAGTTTTAAACTTTCGTATGGTAAAAATACAAGTGACTATTCAATTGTTACGAAAAATAATTTTTTTTTGTTTTTGAGACAGAGTCTTGCTCTGTCGCCTGGGCTAGAATGCAGTGGCGTCATCATAGCTCACTGCAAAAAGATAAAATATTTTGAACATCTCACCACAACCAGTTATTTAAAGAAGTAAAACTTGTTATACCCATGTCTAGGCAAAAAAATATTTCAATTTATTTTGACCCCATATCATTAAGAATAAAAACTCTGAGAAAAAGAGACAGAGAGAGAGAAGGGAGAACATGAACTCAGTGACATGGTTTAACACTGATATATGACAGTGTGCTACATCATTCATGTCAAGGCAAGATTTCAAGGGCCATGGCTGAAAGGCAAGTCAAATGCTGGTGGTGCCATCTGGTGTTTAACTTAGAGAACTGCACACAAATGCAGCTACCCTGCTAGGTGTGAAAAATGGACATCTTCCAACCTAGGTTTACACATCCCTTCCGTTACCTGTCTCCTAGCTATGTTAAGCCAAACATAATGGTATTAATTAGAGGATGTAAAAATACTTCAGTTCTTGAAAAGAAAACCCAGCTTGAAGAACGGAAAGGCTGTACTCCCTGATCTCATTCTCCAGAGTACAGAGGTTCCAGCTAAATGCCCTTAATGTCTGCTAAGAAACTCATCATCCATACACAGGCTTATCTATTTCTATTTAAATTCTCAGCCTGCACCACCTAACAGGGTATTTGTTTTTTGTTTGTTTGTTTGCTGTTGTCTTTTAATTTGTTGTGCGTTGAGAACTGTATTTTATTTGTCCTAAAACAAGCTTTTAAAAGTTCCAATAAGTACCTACTAGTAATAGTGTTCTAGATTTGGGCTGAAAGAAATAAATTTAGTAAACTTTTTTTTTCTGTTTTAAAGTAATGATTACCTCTCAGCCTCATCTACGTAGTACAAAGAATGTCAATAATAAGTTCTCAAAATTCTGTCTCTAGCCAGATCTTTCTTCAGAGCTGCATACTGATTTTCTAGGCGGTCTCCCATATACATGAGACATGATTAGTCCAAAGCTGTGTTAGCCACACATTCCAATCCTCTATTAACATTACAGTTCCTTCCTTCTCTTGCATAATGTAAATGCATTACCCAGAAGTCTCAACTTAGCAAACATTTCCCTGCTGAGCCCTGGCAATGTGTCAAACACCAGACTAAGTGCATCACACCTATTATCTCTGTGAATCCTCCAGCCCAAGGAAGTTGGGGCCACCATGATCACTATTTCAGATGAGAAAGTGGAGGAATAAACACACCGATATGCCCTACCAGAAAATACGTCTCATTAATTCTCTTTCAGCAAGTTTTCTCCATTCTAACTGTACCCAACTCCACTGCCAACAGCCTCAATTCAAGCCCATCATCTTTCATCTAAGAGAAAGCAGGTATGTCTGGAAGCAGCTGGACCTAGGATCAAATCCCAGGAATACCACTTTATAACCATGGGACTTCAGATTCCTTTTCTGACCTCTCTCAAGGGTAGTTTCCTTATATGTCTATAAAACAGGAATATGGAAACTTATCACAACAGATTATATGAAGATAAGAGATAATGAACATACCATATAGTAGGCATTCAATAGTAGCTTATTATTTCTGTGGTCTCCTTGCCTCCACTATCTTTACTTTCTATCTATCCTCCATGCTTCTTCTTTCATGGAAATTGGATCAAAAATCCTTCAGTGACTTCCCACCTCCTTCAATAGTGTTTCTGTATGGTAGAGGTCCCCCAGTAGTATGTAAATGGTTTTAAGTGTCAAGAAGACACAATAAATTTATGCAATAAAGGCTTACCAGCCACACTGTACCAGCAAAAAACAATCTGAAAATAATATTTAAAAATATTCCCTTTATAAGAGCATTGAAAAATACAAACACTGAGGAATAAATTTAACAAAAGGTATATAGGAACTCTATAATGAAAATTATTAAACAATGTTGAGAGACATTTTTAAAGTCATAAATAAATGAACCATGTTCATGGATTGGAACACTCAATATTTTCTTTTTCTTTTTTGTTTTGTTTTTAAAGACAGGGTTCCGCTCTATTGCCCAGGCTGGAGTGCAGTGGTGTGACCACAGCTCACTGCAGCCTCCAACTCCCAGGCTCAAGCAATCCTCCCTCCTCAGCCTCCGGAGTAGCTGTGATTATACGCATGAGCTACTGTGGCCAGAGAGACTCAATATTGATGAAAATTTTATCTATGTAAATTTAATGCAATCCCAAAAGGGTTTTCTGTGGAAATTAGAAAAGCTGATTCTATGTGTTATATGAAAACACAAAGATCCTAGAGTAGCCAACACAATCTTGAAAAAGAATAAAGTTGGGGCCAGGTGAGGTGGCTCATGCCTGTAATCCTAGCACTCTGGGGGGCCGAGGTGGGCGGATTGCTCGAGGTCAGGAGTTCGAAACCAGCCTGAGCAAGAGCGAGACCCCATCTCTACTATAAATAGAAAGCAATTAATTGGCCAACTAATATATATAGAAAAAATTAGCTGGGCATGGTGGCGCATGCCTGTAGTCCCAGCTACTCAGGAGGCTGAGGCAGGAGGATCGCTTGAGCCTAGGAGTTTGAGGTTGCTGTGAGCTAGGCTGATGCCAGGGCACTCACTCTAGCCTAGGCAACAAAGCAAGACTCTGTCTCAAAAAAAAAAAAAAAAAAAGAATAAAGTTGGAAGACTCATATTATTTTATGTGATTAATAATGGAAGGATAGGCAAATGGATCAGTGGAACAGATTAGCAACTCTAGAAATAGATCCACAATATTGGATCAACTGACTTTTTTACAAAGATGCCAAGCATTTCCCCAATGGGGAAAGGAAAATCTCAAAACACAGTGTTAAAACAATCGGTTAACCTATGAAAAAAATAAATGAACCACCACCTCATACAGTATTCAAAATTAATTTGAGGTAGACCATAGATCTAAATGAAAAAGCTGTTTTTCAAAAACAAAAAAGCTATAAGGCTTCTAGAAGACCCTTTGGAGATATTTGTGATCTTGGGATAGACAAAGATTTCTCAAAGACAAAAATTACAAACCACAAAACAAATAAATTGGGCTTCATAAAAATTAAAAACTTCTCCTTTCCAAAAAACAGTTAAGAAAATGAAATCCACAGACTAGGAGAAAATATTCATAACACAAATATCTGCCAAAGAACTTGTATAGAGAATACAGAAAGAACACTTCCAACTCAATAAAAAGACAAAAATTTAAAAACAAGCAAAAAATCCTATTTATGTAACAATTTTGAAATGACAAAATTTTAGAAATAAAGAACAGATTCATGGTTGTCAGGGGCGAAGAAGGCGTGGTTATGACAGGGCAACAGGAGGGATCCCATGATGATGAAATTGCTCAGTATCTTGACTGTAAGGGCCAATACATGAATGTCTACATGTGTATAAAATTGTATAGAACTAAGTACATACACACACAAATTAGTAAAAGTAGAGCTATCTTTACCAATAAAATCAGTGGATGGTACCAAAGTCAACACTCTATCTGTTGATTATACTAAGTTTTGCAAATGTCACCATTAGAGGAAAGTGGGTCAAGTCCACATGGGATCCTCTCTGTACAACATCCCCTCTTACAACTGCTTGTGAATCTAAAATTACTCTATAAAAACTTCAATTACAAAATGGGCAAAAGACTTAAACAGATATTTCAAGATTTTCTCATGGCAAATAAGCACATGAAACAAACAGTGGTACATTTATAAATGGAATTTAACTCAGCAATAAAAAGGATGAATTACTAATACACACGATACAGATAAATTGCGCAGGCATTGTTAAGAAGTCAGGCTCAAAAGAGTACATACACTATTATTTCACGTATATGAAGTTCAAGAACAAGCAAAACATTTAAAGTGATAAAAATCAAAACAGTGATTGCTGATGGGGGGTTCAGGGATGGGAGGGGCAGAATTAACTGGAGGAGGATATATGGCTCTTACTGGGGTGATAGTTTGCCTTGGATCTTGCTTATATGGACAGGTGTATGCATTTCTCAAAACTCATCTGGTTGAGCTCCCAAAATCTGTGCATCTTATTACATGATATATAAAAATTGTGAGGATAATACTCCACTGCCTTTACCTTGGGGGGGTACAATTTTGAATATATAATTCTGAGGTGTACAGAATACCATACAAAGACTATCACATCTTGGCCCCTACCTTCCTAGCTAGCCTTATCTCCTGAAGTCTCCACTTAAGCAGCATGCTAAACTGTTCCAAACCAAATGCTTGCAATTCCTGAAAATACCACGTTATTTCATGCCTCAGTACCCTAATGCAACGTATTAACCCATTAAATATGAGTCCTCTCTAACATTAGTGAATCCCTACTTACCTTGCAATACTCGTGACAAATATCACCTCCCACCTATACAGAGCTTCTCTGCCCTTCCCAAATTCCCACATAAAGGGAAACTATCATTTATGAAGTACTAAACATACACTAGACATTTTTACACATTACCTTGTTCTAGTACCAGAATTAGAAAGTTGACCAGTTAGTAGCTATTGGTGGGCTGATGTTATTGGCTACTTGAGAGTTGGAGAGGGATGATGGTGGAGCTGTTTACCTGGAAATTCACCAGAGGTCAACCTTCTCAGATGAACTAGTTACTCGCAATTAGGGTGTGACAGCCCAGAAGATACTCAATACACATAGAAATACTATTTGTTTTTTAATAATGACTTTTAAAAACAAACCTAAAACATACCTGGCTGCAACTCTTTGAGGAAAAAAGAGGAAGTACATTTAGATGTTCCTTTTGGACACTTACCTGTATTCTTTCTTGCCCTCTGGCAGAAGCAAGCCTTGAAGCTCTACCACGAAATCCTCATGCAATAAACAATGAGAAACAGGAACGCTAGAGAAAGGAATTGAAAACATTTTAAGAGTCAAGAAATGGAGGTCAACATCCCAAATCAAATCAAAACTATGTGTCCACTAGGTTTGTGATTTCCACACATTGTTCTACATGAATTCCTGTGGGGAATTAGGTTTCATCTTTTCCTACTCCCTCAAATAAAGAATGACAATACATTTTTCTTGATGACTCCAAAGTTTAAAACTACACTGTGCTATGTGACCTCTACACTGTGAAACCCCTAGGAATGAATGAAGTCTCTAAGGCTGGCTGTGAGGTACTACATCAACTTTTCCCAGCTTCTTCCAACGTCCTTTCTCTTTAACAACCTGTCAATTGTCACTTAGTGTTATTCACATACCTGCTTCTAACAATGCATTCTAATAATTTGTTTCTTGCCTGGCATAAGTTTTTTAACCACCCCCTCCCAAGTTGTCATGAAACAATTTAAATATATATAACAATTGAGGGAAACATGTTTGAGTGAAGTTCTAAAGTACTTCCCTATGACTTGTAGTACTTCTTTGGCTTATATTCTAGTTATCAAACATATTCCAAATAAACCGAGTTTATCAAATAATTGTCTTCAAGTATTTTACTAGTTTGTATAGCAATGTTTATATAAATAGGATTCTATATAAGAGCATGTTTCTCTTAATATAAAACCAAATCTTATTGAACATTAATGCTTTTCTAGTACCGACATCCATTATGTACTTTACACATAATATGGAGAAAAATAACTACTCTATGAAGTTCAGCTGAATAGAAAGCAGAAAAAAATGTTTAATGATATAGTTTGAAATTCACATATAAAATGTAGAAATTTGGTACTGTGAAAGTATTAACACGATAAGTGTTAACTTTTCTCACTGTAGAGAAAATGCTTAACATTTCTGGGTCTCGAATTTCAAGTCTGTAAAACCAGAGTTCTAAATCAGATCTCAGCTGTTTCTTTCAGCACTAATCCCTAAAGTAAGACTTCTTTGGATTATCAATATCACCATTTAGATGCAGAGAATCTTTTTTTTTAAAGGCTAACACAATGTAAGTGCTTTGAACACAAACATTTAAAAACAAGACAGGCCTAAAACTAGTACAAAACAAGGTCAAATTATTTTCTACTATACCTGCCGTGTGTCCTCTTTCTTTAAAGAGGGAGGGAGGCTGTCCCAGCAGGAGAAGGGAGTGGCTAAGGCATGACAGGCAAATATAAACCCAGACATGGAAAACACGAGAAGGATCCAGATGGATCCAGATGTACCGAGATCCTCCGTGTTACAGGTGGGGGAATCGGTGGCCCAGAGAGGGAGAGTAACCAGCCTCGGGTCACACAGCCAGAATAGCCCTGGGATTACTAACTGTTTAAAGGAGCCTGACACCGCAGACCAGGACCCCACCATTCCTAGCCCTTGTGGCGCCGGAGCGCGGAGCCGGCGGCCCCTCTCGGGAGGCCCCGGGCGGTCAGAGGGACTCGTGCCCAGCTCGAGACCTACTCAGTGGCCCGCACGAAGCCGCACGTGTCCGCCCGGCACACGTAGAAGCTCTTTCCTTTATTCGGGCCATCGCGGACGCCGGTCTTCAGTAAGCAGAAAGTCCCTGCGAAGACAGTAAAGTCAACAACGATTACACCACGCTACATCCACGGGCCTCCGTGGAACCTAAGACCCGGGCCACTCACCGTGCTCGGGGCACCTAACTACTTCCATCCCGCTCCTGCTGCCTTCTTCCACAAGCCCCGCCCCCAACTTCTGCTTCCGCCTTTTACTCCGCCCCTCTTCATTCAGGAACCAATCATTACTCATCTTCTGTGGTCTTGGCCCACATAGCTATTATCGGCCAATCATATGGGGAGTTTGCTCACCTCCAACCAATCACAGCCACCCTCAGGCTTGGCGGGAGCCGAAATCAAATACGAAGCGAGTGGGCGTGGAGAACCTGGCATTTGCTTGCGGGGCGTGGCTGAGGTGGGAGGGTGGCCTAGAGGCCGGCGAGTTTCCGGAGGAAGGGAAGAGGACCGGGCGAGCCTGAGGCCGAGGCGGCCCTAGAGGGAGTGCGAGTTCCAAGGTTTTGACAGCCTCTCTGCGCCGGGGCCTGGCCCTTGCGCGCTCTGGCCTGCGCTCGGCCGCCGGGCCGGGGAGTCCTGGAGAAGCAGCCGCTGCTGGCGGAGCGACGGAGCGGGGGCGACCGGGGCGCGGCGCATTGAAAAGGCTGTACTAGGGCAGGCGCAAGGATTTCTCTGAGACCCACAACAATTCTTTAGATTTGCCTAGTGCTTCAGGCTTCACAGAGTGCTTCCACACACACGTCTCTCCTCACTAAACAACCTGGCGAGAAAGGCAGCGTTTTATGGATGATCCCGAGAGTCATAAAAGCTTGAGAGACTCACCCAAGGTCAAAGAGTTAGTGCGGGGGCGATCTGTGGGCAGGTGCACAGGTCTCCATGCCAGGTTCAGTGCCATTTGGCCGGCGCAGCTGCCTCCTGTTTTGCACTGGATGTTCTCTAGGCTGTCTTAGCGAGGAAGCCCTGAGTTATCAGTGTCAAAGGAGAAACAAGGCGGGGGCGGGGGGAGATAGATTACCCTTGGTGAAGGCGAATTTACCTTTATATATATTTTGTATTGTCAAACTTTTCCTAATGATATGCTTTTGTGTTTCTAAGATCAAGGATGAAGTTAAATGAAAGGGAACTGTATTTGAAATTTCAATCAAATCTATTAACAAAAAGGGACAAGTAGCTATCAGATTTATTGCAACAGAGATGGCTTCATATTACAGCTACTGAGGACCATATGTCCCAGGCATATGGCGTGGCACCTGCAACTGTTTTTATGGGGGCAGTAGAACAGAAAATCTGTAATGTCTAGGAAATCTGGGCTATACGATAAATGTAAATGTTATGGGGGTCCGGAGGAGGGGAGACAAACCGAGGTACCATTTATTAATTAAACAGTACTTATTAAATAGGTTTTTTTGCATGCCCAATATGGATTAGATGCTTCAGAATTATAAAATTCATTTATTCACACACATAAAGTTTTAAACAACTATTCTAATCAAAAGGAGCTTACTCAGTATTTGGAGGAGACTGAACTAGCACATATAGAACACTTAAATAACAATATAAAAGCATTTAAATGTCAAAATGGGTAGAATTAGCAGTAACTCTCTAGAGACAGAGAAAGATGTATCTGGAATTTCAAAAGTGGAATTAGTTTATACCTAACTACCCTTCTGAAACTTAGATAAATTTAGACATAAGACAGGAGCAAAAAAATTAATAGGTAGAGCCATATTCATTATTCCCAAATTGTAATTCTTGCAACTGAGAGATTTTTATGTACATGTTCGATAGGTGCTGCATTGGGAGAAGTATACTATGAATACTTGATTTGCAGGGAAAGGGGCATGATATTTAATTCCTTCTTGAATAATATCATATTGAAACAAAACACAATCAGGGCCTCTTAAATATTCCATTAAGGAAGAAGTTCTTCCTCTACAAGTACCCAAGCCACTATCTCAAGTCAAACCCCATGAAAATATGCACAGCCAAATCATAAAAAGGGGAAATATTTCTTCTATAAATTTGGGATATGCTAGATCAAAATGTTTAGTCCCTAAACAACTCATCCCACCTCATCATATTTATAAGAGTGAAAAAAACAAGTTTGACATTGGGTGAAAGATGGTCATAACTAGAAACATTTTTTAAATTAATTTGTATGCCTAGTGACTTAAACTATAATGAATTATACAATAGACACTTTTCAAGATACATGCATACATTAGTGGTATGTGTATTACTTTTTATTCTTAATTTATATTTATATTTTAAGTTTTATTCTTCATTAGCCTGGAGAGACCTGTTGGAGTGGAGAACTTGCAGCCTCAAGGCCACATGTGGCCCTCCAGGTGTGGCCCCTGGAATCCAAACTGAACAGAATGAATCCCTGCACACTACCTTACAGAGCCACGCCTAAAACTTTGGAACCAGATAGGGTCCATAGATTAATTTTTTTCCTGGCTCAAAGTCACAAAGCTGACACCAGCAGATCAGGGACTGGAAGCCACGTTTCCAGACCTTCAATCCAGTTCTTACCACTACAGTATTTTTATAAAGCATATTTAGTGATTTAGATATTTAACCCATACATTGATAAGCATTAGGTGTTTGTTTTAGTATACAGACACATCTCAACAAATCCAAGATTAAAAACAAAACAAACAACTCAAGTCCTACCATTTTATAAATGATCACTAGGTAGCAGCATAGTAACACAAAAACCAACCAGAAGGCCCACCCTCTTTTGCTGTTTCATTTTTTTTGTTTAAAGATATGTAATGGTAAATCAATTTCATTTCATTTTGTGCCTTTCAAATATATGACTATTTTAAACTTTCCCTTTGACATAGGCGCGGTCAGGATGATATTATAGTGAGAACAAATCTAGTTATAATTTGAAAAGCCAAGAGACTTTATAAATTCTTTTGTTGTATCAATATTTTGCAGTATTAGATTCCAAATTTCACTGTTCTTAAAATATTATTCCAAAAGCCAAAGCAAGCTCTTCTTCATATTTTTTTCTTTATTTGGTAAATGTACAATTTTTTTTAGTGAATTTATAAAGTTGTGCCACCACTGCCACCATAATCTAGTTTTATAACACTTCTATCACCCAAAGACTTTCCTCAAATCTGTAGGTAGTCAATCCCTACTAACACCCTCAGCTCCAAAGCAACCACTGATATGCTTTTTATCTTTATAAATTTGCCTTTTCTGGACATTTCATATAAAAGAAGTCATAAAATGTAGGCTATTGCCTCTGTTTTCACTTACAGATATTTTTGAGTTTCATCCATGTTGTATCATGTATTAGTTTTTTACTTCTTTTTATTGATAAATTGTATTCCATTATATTCATTCAACAGTTAATGGACATTTAAATCATTTTCCCTTTGGTGTTATCAGGAATAATACTGTTATGAACATTAACGTGAAAATCTTTATGTGAATGTTTATTCTAACTCCTCTTGGACAGATAACTGTAAGTGGAATTGCTGGGTCATATGGTGAGTTTATGTTTAACTTTTTAAGAAATTGCCAAACCATTTTCCAAAATGGTTGTACCACTTTGTATTCCCATGAGCAATGTATGAGGGTATGAGGGTTCTCCACATCCTCACCAATACTTGTTATTGTCTGTCGTTTTTGTTACAGTCATTCTAGTAGGTATGAAGTGGTATCTCATTTATGTTTTAATTTGCATTTCCCTATTTATGTTGCACTCTTTTTCATGTGCTTTTTAGCCATGATCTCCCTCTTTTTAAATGGTCTTAAAAGTCTTTTTCCTTTAAAGGTTTGTATGGAAGTTAAACTAAAACCTAAATAAAAGTGACATTGTTATTAATCCAAGGAGATCAAGGAAATAGTAATGGTTTATATAATGTTAAATAACAAAATTGCTTATGTACTGTGACTATAGTCATGTCAAAAATATTTTTACCCACAACAAATTACTAACTTTTAAAACTATATATTGTATGATTCCATTTATATACCTCTGAGAGGTTGGGTTGGGAGATTGGTACAGATTTTATTTTCTACAACTAGAATGTATTGCTCTTATGATTGATTTATTTTTTATTTTATTTTATTTTTTTGAGACAGAGTCTCACTTTGTTGCCCAGGCTAGAGTGAGTGCCGTGACATCAGCCTAGCTCACAGCAACCTCAATCTCCTGTGCTCAAGTGATCCTTCTGCCTCAGCCTCCTGAGTAGCTGGGACTACAGGCATGTGCCACCATGCCCGGCTAAGTTTTGGATATATATTTTTAGTTGGTCAATTAATTTCTATTTTTTTAGTAGAGATGGGGTCTCACTCAGGCTGGTTTTGAACTCCTGACCTTGAGCAATCCACCCGCCTCGGCCTCCCAGAGTGCTAGGATTACAGGCGTGAGCCACCACGCCTGGCCAATTGCTCTTATGATTTAAAAAAACCAATAAAGACATTAAAAGCAGACATATAGGAAAAAAATAACAAAGAGAATGCACCAAAATAGTAATGCTTAAGGTAGTAGGATTACTGGTGGGTTTTTTCCCATTTTTTTAAATACAGCATGTAATATTATTATACTGCTCACAGTAGAGTAGTCATAGGCCTCACACCTCTGCACTTCCATCAAAACACCTGTTACACTTGCCTAGTTCTCAACCTAGCTATTTAAGCCTGACTTTCCTGTAATTAATCCTTTCTTTCCTTCATTTTCTTAATTCCCTCTGAAACCTCTTTTTGGTATCTAATTCAAATTTTATACCAAGCTATCTTTCCCCTTTACTCTAGTTATTCTGCTTAATTCTAACCTTACCCTCAACCCTCATTCCAAATATTGCTAGAACACTGCTCATTTGTTTCCTGAAACCCTTTCTGCTTTACACATTACAGATAATCTAGAGTCTCAAGATCACTTGGGGCTATGTGCTTGTTTCCCCTGGCAGTTGTCCTGAGCTGTATTTCTTCTGGAAGGCAACGCATGGCACTAGGGTAGATTCCAGGTTCTCAAGTGGAGAATAAATATACTGCCCACAGCTCTGAAGATTTTTACATTGAAGTTTTTGAGCCTCCATAGATGCTGAGATCATAGGGGCTGAGAAAGCTCTGGCAGAGTTCTGGCTAATTCTCCTGACTTTTCCTTTCTGAGTTAACCTGGGAGCCAGAACAGAGCAGCCTCTGTTTTATGCTGCAATGTTTTGGTACTAAAA